ATGCTGATAGATGCGCTTTACCAGAAATGGATCACCGAACGACAAGGACGTGAGTTTTGGACCCTGCAGTCTTGGCAGGAGTGCCATCTCCTAGGCTAGAGAACGGAGTTCCGATGCCTATTTTCCAGCCGTTACCGCATTTTGTGGCAGCTGTCCCGTGCACCTGCGGTGAAAGAGAAAGGGTTCCCGATAGCATGGAAGCCGGCTGCCGGCTAGCGGCTAGTCAGGCTAGTCGCGTCATCGATGGTGGAGGAGAAGCAAGAATGAGCCTTCTTCCAGCGCAGTCACAGGCAGCTGCATGTCCAAAGCCTCAACGGGCGATCAGCCCAACCACAAGCCTGGACCTGACCAGCGTTAAGTCTCTTGAGCTTGCTTCTCTTGATCGGTGAAAACAAGGGAGTGCCATGTAGTCACTACGCACGTTCTGCCCCGGCCCCTGCACGAAGCACTGCACAAGCCATTGCGCTGCCATTGCTGCTCGTGGTGTTTGGTTGGTTGCTGAGTGTCTGTGTGTGGGTGCTCCGGAGCATAGATGCTGTGACCAGCTCCAGGTAGACGGCAGAGACATAGCCAACTTCGAAAGCACCGGCTCGTGCTATATGACGGAATATCAAGTCAACATACGTCAACCGTAGTTTCTGATTCTACCACAGATGCTTCTATGACGGCGTTCAGTCGACATCTGCATGGCACGCAAAGCGAACAATGGCAACGTCAAAAATGCTCGCAAGGCTAAGGCCAACTCAGTCGCTGGCCAAGTCGCGTGGCTTCTCAGAAAGAGTCCTTGCGAGGCACGGCCCGGGAAGTCTCGGGGGTTTTCGAACCGCAGAGCCGCGGAGGAGCTCGGGGTTCGAAAGATCTTCCTTGAGCGTTGCGTGACTTGCGTGCTGCCACACTTTAAAAGCCAAAAAGACAAGATGCAAGAAGCAGGGCACTGCTTTTTGCTCTGAGTCTGAGTTCAGGATGCCTCCTATGAGTACTTGTGTGGAATGCGTCACTGAGCGCAGGAAGCGGAGATCAGAGCTCTTGAGGCGAGGATTCGAGCAGAATGCTCCGGGGGCCGCCGCGTCCACGGAGCCAGCACGAGCACAGCGAACCCGGCGCCCGGGCAGGACGGGGACGCCAACTCGCCCTTGAGCCTTGTATAGAGATTGGATGCCAGACGTCGCCAGGGGCCCGCTCTAACTGGTCGTCTCTTCCGTGAATTGCCAATCTCGGAACGCACTTTGCGCGGCTTAGAGGTCTGATTTTCGCTGTTCGAGTGGCATCTCATGCAGAAGCAGTTGGGTGATTGACAGGCTTCGAAATACGTCAAGATGACAGAGATTCAATCCGGTGCAATTCCACTAGCCCTTTCTGGCAGAACTCTCAGAGTAAGCCCTTTCACTGTGAATCATACCCTTCCTTGAAGTCTCCATCGCTGAGGCCGTGACATCTTGGGCGAAGCTCGCACGGGCTCCGGCAAGACTTTGGCATTCCTGGTGCCTGCAATCGAGTGCCTTTACAGGCACACCGCTGCAAGCTACAACTGCCAGCACACATGTACAGCACAGCAAGTGGCGACATAGCAGAAAGGCAAAATTGGTCCAAGATGGATGGTCTGGGTTCTGCGATTGTCCTGAGCTTGGAGAGAGTTGGATGATTCGCTTCCGAATGCAACAACATTTTCCCCAGGTGTCTCCAACTCGTGAGCTTGCTTACCAGATTTTTCAGGCCATTGCCAGAGTCATGTAATATCCGTCTGCATAACCTGCAGGACAGTACCCTTGATGCACGCAAGGTCCTGACGAATGTCGGTCAGGAGCACGAGATTTCTGCAGGTCCACCACACGAGAAGCATGATGCATTTTGGCTCTCCACAGGGAGGCTGTGCTCATGCAGCAGGTTGCATTGTGGGCGGCCGATCTCTTGCAGAGGTGCAGTGCGACGTTCAGAGACGAACTGGCGTAGTGTTGGCTATGCTGCTGCGTCTTCCAGGAGCAGCATGCGGTTGCGAACATGAGCATTCTGGTGGCCACGCCTGGAAGGCAGGCTGTGCGGCCTGGAATATTCGGTCCTATCGTGAACAGTGAAGGCTCTTGCAGCACTTGGACGAGTCGCCGGGCTTCGATGCTTCTGCCTTGCTGATTCTAGCCGCCACCTTGAGCTGAGACTCTTCTGTCGCAGCGGGGAGCCGGAATTTGTGATAACATCGCAGGTCATAGACGAAGCCGATCGCATTCTGGACTTCGGGTTTCAGGCGCCGTCCAAGTCAAGCCTGAAACCCCTGCACTCTCAGATACTCTCAGTCGCCACGTGCCTGTGTCGTCTCTTTAGCTTGGCCCTTTTTCCCCGTCGCGTCGCAGCATCCGGGAGAAACTGCTCAGAATGTGGAAATCACGGGACTGCAGAAAGCTAAGGCAGAAGAATGAAGCTGCCAGTAATTACTTGTGCTCTGCGTGCCAGCGCAAAGAACTGAAAGTTCGCGGTCTGGCACTGTGCCGGAAGGGAGCTCGTCGTGAACGGCCCAAGCACACGGCTCGTGCCACAACGGAGTACATGGCAAGCAAAATCAATTCCAGGCTAACAAAAGCTCTCGCAAACACAGACAAGGAACAACGAAGGCACGAAACACTTTCTCACTGACAGCTGGGTAAGATTGCTCCGGGCAGCGTGCAGGAATAGAAAGAAGGTGCAGGTGAACAGGAACAATCAGTGTCACAATGCCAGGTTTAGAAACCAAGCAGTGCCTCAGAGGGCTTGATTTTGATTCCTGTCATGTGGGTGCTCAGGGCTTTAGTAGACATGGACATAAGAGAGGAGACAATGCACAATATCCTCCAACATCTGCCCGTCCAGCGTCAGACGTGAAGTGCTCAGAGGTGACTGAAGAGCGCATGCGCATGATATGTGGACATTTGTTCGACTTTTGACGGAGGCTTCTCTTCTCCGCAACCTTGCAGAACAGTGTGCACAGACTTGGCCGGGCTGCACTGCGTTCGCCGGAGGCAGCGCCGAAGCGTGTTGCGTTTCGTTATGGCTTTTGACACAATAGAACACAGCATACATGTGAGTCGTCGTTTCTGCCCACGAGTGGCTCACGGAATTGCTGCTTCTGGTGCATCCTGCATAGGTCATTTCCGTGCATCATAACGCCAAAAGCCGCACACCTGAAACTCTGAAGCCAGATCCTGAGTCAGGGGCACGAACAATCAGACTGTCCCTTCACCCTGACACTGTTGAAGTTGTCATGCAGGCAGATTTACATGGTGGTACCTTTGGAGAAGAAGGTTGACACTCTTTTTTCGTTCCTTCGACTCTCGCTCAGATCATGACACGTGATGTGTGTTTTTGGGCCAGCAGTGCAAGTGCAACAGAGGTACCCTTCGCAACATAGCTTGAGCATCCCAGGATCCCATTCCCAAAAGAAGACGATTGTGTTTGTGTCCACCTGCAAGCAGGTCCGGTGCGAGCCTCAGATTTGAATTGCCAAACATTGTAAACATATGAATTGAATTTGTGTGTGTGTAGCACAGCCAAGCTGGGCAACAGACAGAGGTTCCTGTACGAGGCGTTCAGGAAGTGCCTGCCTCAAGTTGTTACTGCGCCTCCGCTCTGCGAGCCGAGAGCGACTCTTTAAAGAGGTGGGCGCAGAGGGCTGGAAGAGTCGGAAGATGTCGGAAGCATTTCTGAACACCCGGCACTGATGACGGCAGGGAGTCGGATTGACCGACTTCACACACATTCAGCAAACATAGTTGAGTGTTGGCGGACGAGCTTTGGGCGGAAGCTCGAAGTAGAGCGATTCAGCGGTTCCAGCAGTACAGCAGTACTGACTGCTCGGCAGATGTCCACCGTTGTACGGGTAGTAGTGTGTCAGGCCGTCGAGTCAAGGCTGTCATATTACGAAGCGGCTGACAAAAAGGTTGCACAGCTGGTGGCTGGTGTAGGCGGCTGCCTGCACCTGCCCAACGCGTGACCACTGGACCATGCGAATTCCTAAGCCGTGGCGTCTCGCAGCAACGTGCTGTAACTTCATGATTGGGGGGGGGGGGGCAGGGCGGGCCACAAAACCCACGCGTCAATGCGACACTTGCAGGATCATTGCAGACGATGTAAACTCGTGTAGACCTGAGTTTTTTTAATGCTTCTGGAGGGGATACTGTAGACGGAGGTGCGAGAAACATGGTTCAAGAGCAGTGTCAAATGTTGTGCCTGGCAACAAACAGGGAGAGCCCTTGACAACTTGATTTTTCATGCACCGACAGACATGAAGCGTGGCACGAGGATTAGCAGTCCTAGTGTGGACGGGACTGACTCGACGTGTGCTACTGCATTCAGAGCATTGTGCAGGTGTTTCATACGTGGATACGCATAAAGGAGTCGACATGTTAGTCTTGCGTGCTAGTTTGGGCATGTCGTGTCGCAGCATCAGGGAGGAGTTGAGTTGTCAAGCAAAAGGCATTTGGTGGCTTCCACCACAGAAGCATCCGCGACGGTGGATAGGGTGACGTGTCTAGATTGCGCTCACAGGCAAGCTGCAAGTTTTGAAAGCCACGCAAAGCCGGAAGGAATACAAAAACAGCGAGTCTGTTCCATTCTGTTCCAAGGGACCTTCAATCCGTGTAACGAAGACAATCTTTGGGAAGAGATCTGTGTTGGATTGTCATTTTTCCTGTTTTCTTCAGCTTGAAGCGTGCTCTTGCAGGCTGCTGGGAATACGGATGAAGAATCGTATTGTGCGTCTATCCAAGCAAAGTTTCCGGCTTGCCACCTCTCAAGGTTGAAACCGGGTCCGGCCGTGATGGAGTTGCACGGCCGTCAGAGTCTCACAAAGCGGATGCTGATTTTCCAGCAGTTCATGGAGCGCCCGGACCTGAGCCGCAACGACAGAGACTTGAAGGCTTCCAGTTCGAATTCGATCTCTTTTGGCTTTGTCTCAGACATTTGAGGCGAGCGTGCTGTCGCTTTGTTGTGCACGGACATAGCAGCCCGGGGTGCCGCTCCTGGGAAGACATGCGATGAAACTGCCACAAGGCTTGCTGGTCATTGCTTGTAGAGGTGTGGACTTTCCAGCTGTGGACTGGGTCGTCCAGGCAGGCGGTTGCCTGGTGCCATCGTGGCGTCTGCACAGCTTGAGGGATTCGAAGGCTGACTGCCCAGACACAGTGGACTCCTACATCCATCGTGCCTGACACCAAGTTGAGACCACCCCCACGGATCGTCAGAGGAATTGACCCAGATTCGGCGGCAACAGGTTGGGCGAACAGCTAGATACGAAAGCCGTGGCCCCAAGGAGGGCGTTTGCTTTCGCTTTTCGCAGCAGGGAGCTTGAACTTGCAGGCACGGGCAAGTCGGCGCTTTTCTTGCTGCCGTCCGAGAAGCCTTTCGTGGACAAGTTGCTTCAGGCCAAGTCGGAAGTCCGCCGTCGCGTGCGCTCACGGGATGACTCAGATGTCTCGTGTGCGACTCCTTGAGGCGCGCGTGGGCGTACGAGCCATCAATGCGAAGCAGTCGAAAGTTGTGTCTATACAACAGAAGCTGGAGCTGTCCTCATGTCCCAGCTGTCAGAACATGTGCTGCTGTTGCCAAGTTGCTGATGCCTTTCCCTGATAAGGCCTCGGTGCTCGCCGAATCCGGGGACATTCGCCACCTCGCCCAGAGGGCCTTTGCCTCCTATGTGCGTTCAGTGTTGTCCCGAGCTTTCCAGTAGCGGTCCGAAGGGTGCCGGGAGAGAGCCGCGAGTTCTCTGCGAGGTGCGGCTCATGAAAGACAAGGACATCTTCGACTTCGAGGACCCGGCAGGGCAGAGTCTCCGCCTTTTGCGCTGAGAAGGACTTCTTCCGGTGATGACTCTTTTCAGGCTCTCCCCAAGGCTGCCTTTGCAGAGTCTTTGGGCTTGGCCGATGCGCCGGAGATCGGAGCCGATTGGGAGGCCTGGGCAGAGCCGCGCCGGGCGGCGCAGGGCACAGCTCCGCGCAGGATGAGGACACCGAGCACAACAAGCTGAAGAAACGGAAGAACCAGTCTGCCTTGCAGCGCCTCAAAGACAAGATACGAGAAAAGAAGCAGGCCTGCTACCATTCAGGAATTGTGTGTAGCTTATGTGCCTCTCTGCGACAGGCCGGAAAGCAAGTGCCAAAAATGGAGGAGGACATTAGTGGAACTCGCGAAATTCGACAATCAATGACAACTATGACTTCGATTGCAACTGTCTATGAAGAGAGAAGCACGACTCAAGGAACACATTATGCTGTGCCGCCACGTTGCAGGATGCAGAGGAGGAGCTGGAGCTGGATCAGCCGCACAGCTCGAAGAAAAAGATTGGCAAATGGGAGCGCCGCCAGCGACGCATCGCTGCGGCAAGCAAGGCAGGGGCAGGCTCAGAGCCTGCAAAGGCAGCGGCGGAGGAAGATTTCTTGGAGCTCGTTGCAGAGCAAAGGGAAGGCTTGGAGTCTCAAGCTGTGCTTCCGATAAAGAAGCGCCTGAAGATTCGCAAAGATGGATCAGCTCAGGTCCTTGCCCCAGTGTCGGCACAAACGGGCTGGGAGTCTAGCAAAAACCAGCTCAGTTTTTGTTTTTGCCGAGGCGAGCGGACAGCACGTTTTCTTCACCGGAAAGGACGGTGCAAAAGCCAGCTCCGAGTTAGCGCAGTGACTCTCTCAACCTGACCTGTCCTTCCATGCGGAGCTTCAGCTTCGGGTATCCAAGGTTGGCAGACGAACTCCGTGCAGAGGCCTCGCCAGATCAAGGTGCAGCCGGCTGAAACGAGCTATAACCTTGAATGAATATGAGGCCCTTGAGTTTTGCCAGGCGAGTCTCGGGCCAGCTTTCTGAGACGAGTGCAGGACGACCTCGCACCTGACCGAGTTTTGGAGCACTTGAGTCAAGTCTTTGGGCCTGCGTGAGACTTGGAATCCTAGGCCACAAGAGATTCCTCCGATGCAGCTGCGAGCCGTTCACGCATCCAGAAGCGCCATCAGACCATGCGCCGCAAAGAACGAGCAGCAAAAGGCGCGCAGGATGACGAAGAGCTGGACTGCTGCGCCCTCAGACCAGAGTCTTTTGATTGTGCTCTCTTCAATGTCCGCAATCTGTTCAATCTATTCTTGCTGGTGTTCCCCAGGCGAGTCTGAAAGTCCGCCCCCTTCACCTGCACCTCAGCAGACAGAGGGGAGCTTGGAAGAAAGCATGCCAAAGAGGAAGGCGGCTTTGGCCTCAGCGCCATGGCACTGCACATGTGTGCAGGGCAACTGCAGGGCACTGCAGGGCACTGGGAGCCTGGACGCTTCAGGCTTCCTCTGTGTCCAAGATTGCCAGCTTGGACTTGGAAGATTTGGAGAAGAAGGCCAAGGGCTTAAGGGCCAAGCGCACAGCGTTGATGCACTTGGCGCACTTGGGAGGCCTTGAGCCGCTTGGGTGGGCTCTTCGCATAAGAACACAGCGCGTGTTGCGATTGGCTCCCCGAATCTCCGTGTCACCTGTGTTTCACCCAGCGAAGAATAGTCGATCGATTGGCCTGGAGCAGGTTCGGATAAGATTGGCACCAAGATTTTCGACAGCTCCAGTGCTTCTGCAACTTGCGCGATGGGCATCCCCCATTCTGCATGCCGCCTTGCCTGGCCGCCGCAGCATTTCCGCCTTCGCGGTTTGCGATGGCCGGTATGGCTTTGGACATTTTGCCCGCGCCCCTTTGGCGCACGTTGCCAAGACCTTACGTGTGGGTAGTTGTCAAAAGTAGGGTCCTGTTTGGGTACCCGAAATAATAGGTGCCGTATTATATTAGGGACCCAAAAAGGGACGATAATTTTGACAACCACCCATGTGTCTTTGCTTTGTGACAGCCTTGCGGGACATCATCCGTCCCGAAGGCCTTGCGGCCAGAGCTGGCCGAGTCAGGACATGCCCGAAAGTGCGGTGATGTGTGGTGCATGATGGTGCATGAAGTGGCCTCCCCTGAGTCGAGGAGTTGATTTCGCGATCTCGGCAAGAGGATCCAGAGCGGCAATGGAGATCAGCAACATCCGGGCTTTGTCTAGGAGGTGCTGCCCTGCTTGGAGCTACATGGCTGAAGTTCAGTTTCATGAGTCCCATCTCCGACTAGACTCGGGCTGTCTTCCGACGGGCTGTCAGACCAGGCTTCTTGCAAAAGACTACAACGCAGCCGCAACCGCGTTAGTCTTCAGGTTGGTGACCGGAGAGTGATACGGTGCTAGCTGACAAGACATCGTGCAGGTGCGGCGACGGCAGCTTCCAATCCTACAAGAGAAGCAGGTCATAGCTACAAAGCCGACGACCTACAGGGACCTATCCTTGCGGTACAGTATCTCCCGCATCAGCTGTATCATGTGAATGTCAAGTCTCAAGGCGACTTCCGCTCTGGCAGCTCTCTGACGAAATGTGACCCACCGCCGACAGGCCACCTTCAAGCCTTGCAGAAGGCGCTTAACACGTCAGGTACATGGAGCGACAGCTTGCCCCCGATCCTGAGCTTTCCTGGACCGAGGCATTTGAGTGAATCCTGAAACCAGTGCATGACTGGTGCATGCAGAGCTCGCAGCATGGAGCTGCACGTGGACGCCTCACATATCTCCAGAGGTCCGCCGGGCGCAAGCACGGATGAAAGAGCAAGTTATTGCGAGACTCTCGGCTTTGGAATCGAAGTCGGATCCGGAGTGTGTACTGGAAGTGAATTTGCAAGGCCCAGCAGTTCCGAGACTTCAAAAAGATTGAGCGCGAGCTCGGCGGTTTCCGTCTCCAGCCGCCTTTCTGGCAAGCTTCGCAGTTGAGTTTGAAAGGATGCTAGAAAAGTGCTTGCCAGGCAGTACCACATAAGCGAGCTTCGTGCCGGCATGTGGGTGGAGGTGGGCAGACTTCAGCAGATGTTCGCAAACGTGGAGGGCGCATGCAGAAAGTCTCTCCGACCAGGGTCGCGTGTCAGCGACGCATGACAAGGGAGTGATGGTGGACGTGGGTGCGTACACCGAGAGCGGAGAATGGGTTGACGGCTTCCTGCACATGGGCCAGATCAAGGATGACGGAGGCTACATTCGCCAGGCATCCTGGATGGAGCGGTGTACTTGTAGCTAAAAAGCCGTGACTCAGTCAGTGAGCGGACGAATGCGTGAGGGAGTGCTTGTCTGGATGTGACTTGGACAGGACAAGATCATGGATTTTGTGCACTTGGGGGAAAGCGTCCGAGTCAGAGTGGTGGAATGTGTCCCAGCAACTGGCCTTCTGAGATTATCGATGCGGATTGAGGAGGACTGGAGCTTGAAGCTTCTTGAGTTGAAAGATGGCTATGGAGTTTGCATCCGGTGATTCCGGTCGTGCATGTTGCACGCGCGTACAAGCAGGATGCTGAAGCTTCGATCTGTCATGTTCGTGCGATGTGCAAAGCTCGTGTTCGCGCTCCAGGACTTGCCTGAACTATTCTTGGGCAAACCTAGACCCTACAGCATCCATGACATCGAAGAAGGGATGAAGGCTGCATCGGGGCTACAATCGTCTACTAAGCAAGGTGCTTGGAAGTGATTAGAATGCTTTGAGCAGGTGACTGGCATTGTTCGACGAGTTTGGGACAAATGGGCACTTGTGGATATTGGCTGCGACTGCTTGGCCCGGCTCCACGTACGAGAGCATCCGCGGGAGAGAAACGAGTCGGGATCTCAGGATCTCAGTTGCGCAGCGCTAAAAGCGCCGCAGGCAAATCTGGCCCCAGGTACGGTTTCTACAAGTGGGACCGGCTGCACAAGTATGCCTGGAGCGCTTTCACCCGCGGCGCTCAGCTTGATCTTTGGGTCGAGAAGGCAGTGTGGTTTGGTTTGGGTTCGGCTGAAAGCAGGGGCTGAGATCCTTTCTGCGCCCCCGTCCAGCATCTCGGCCAGATCAAATATCAGCGCCAGATCACCTTGGTGGGCAACAGGCCACCGTCTGTGAAAATGGCTGACAAGGCTTGGCAGTGCAGTGCCATCCTTGCAATTGTTGAGAAGTCCAGAGTATCGAAGCAAGGTACGAGCAGCTCGTATGACTGGAGCCAACTTCGTGAAAGGTCTTGACAAGAAAGAAGAGCGCCCATGACTTGGGAGCTCTTCAAGCTGCTGTGCCGTGTGCCGTCGCAGGAACTTTCCTCCAATGCTGCCGTAAGGTATGACGCTGGAGCAGCAGCGGGACCGGGAGAAGTCGGAAGCCGAGAAAGCGTGGGCCCTAGGGTTTGTGCAGGGACTGACACGGATAGCGTGGAAGATGAGGCATGAGAGTATGAGAGTGAAGCGTAAACGCTGTTGTCGCCAGGCACACTGGAGCCCCTACGTGCCACACGTGGATGAGTGGCTGGAAGAAGCGGCAGAGCCAGATGAAGAAACTGACAGCTGGGTTGCGAGGACTGCTGCCCATGCTGTTTCCTAGCACTCTCGTCCAAGAGCCAGCAGCAACGAAGGACAGAGCGCGAGATCTTCGAAGAGTTCAGGGAAGAGAACGGTGAATCGTCTGCACAGGACTTGCCTGGACTTGCTCAGTCCACCTGTTCGCTTATGACTGCAGCTGATGGTGTGCAGGAGGGAGGCATTGATCTGGCTTCTAACTTTTTGGACGAGGACGGGGCCGCTGCAATTCGCCAGACTGACCAGCGGTACAAGCGAAAGCCGGGTCACCAACTCAGGAGTTCGACGAGGCAGATGACTTCGGCGAGGATGAGTTTGCAGAAGACGACTTCGTGGACGAGTCCAACTATGTAGCTGACGATGTACCCTTGAGCTTCGGAGCTCCAGGATTCGAGGCCAGGGCCAGGGCCAGTCCAGTGCTTTCGTTTTTTGAATCATCTGCTTTCGAGATGACTCGACTTGTGAAAAAGTCGGCGAGGACGATGCTTGGGAGCTCAATGATGGCCCCGAGCAAGGCTCGCAAGAGGACAGCCTGCTCTACTGATAGCAACAGCCTGCCCTGATGGCCCGTGCTCGCAAGCAGAAAAGATCAGAGCGAGCGCCTGTGTCACTGTCCGTCCTGCAGGCAGGCGCAGTACATGCGCTCGACCTGCTCTTTACATGCCTTGACACTGCGTTGACGGTCCATTTGGCTCGTTGCAACAGCAGCAAGACGCGGGTTCCCCCTTGGTTCCGCGCAGCTTGAGCCAGTAATTAAGAGTAGTGATCTCAGCTCTTACTCCGAACATGTGCTTGCAAGCACAACAATGGCAACAGTCCATTCTGTCGTTGGTGTAGTTGGGCCGCGCTTGTAGCCATGGACAGATTCGATACTTCCAAAGACCCCCGCTTCAAGCGTGCTCCTCGACATGTCCGGCGAGTTCAAGTGGATGGGCGGTTTGCCCGTATGTTCAAAGACAAGCAGTTCGTCGAAACTCCACGCGTGGATGCTCGAGGCCAACGACTTAGCCGCAAAGCCGGGAAGCAAAAACTCCAGGAGTTCTACGACCTCGCGGGGCTTGACTCAGAGAAACGAAGTGCACGAGAGGAGCCCAACAGGCCTGATCTGGAAGATGCAGAAGAGCAGGAGGAAGAGTCAGCTGTGGAGGCCGCCGCAGCGCCGCAGAACTGTTTGCACGGGGTTTGCCTGAGTCTCTGATGCTCTCTTCTCGAAGGACGAGGAAGACGACTCGGAAGAAGCTGATGAGGATGAAGATCCTCAAAGCTCTTCAGCCTGGAATGTGGCACAGGAGGATGTGCCGAAAGGAGATGCTACGCGACGGCTCGCTGTCATGGGTTGCGACTGGGATCATGTTGCTGCAGGTGATCTGATGGTGCACTGGCCGCACTTTGCAGCCTTGATGTGTCGACGAGGTAAGTTGTAAGCACGCAGAGTCTCTGCGGTTTCTAGTTGCCAGGTCATGTTCCGGACATATCTCAGCACCGCGCGGTCCAAGAGCCAAGCCGGCAATGCAACTTGACCGCAGACACACTGCGAAAATCGCAAAGAAAGCTTAGGGCTTAGGGCTTAGGGTTTCTGCAGCAGTGCAAAGTGCCCCAGTACAGTAACCCTGTGCAGACGTCTGTGTGTTGAAGTCCCGCCACTTTGCCACCCACTGCCATACATTCTGCTGCCATCCTTCCTACATGTCGGTTTCGCATGCTGACAAGACCTTCGCGGATGCTTTGCACCTTTTGCCATGACAAAACTGGAGACATCCGCTCAGATCTAGCCTCCGATGGCTATGCAACGAGAAGAATCAATCGTTCGCCCGATCTGCGAAACCGAACAATCACAGGCACTTCCTGCAGACTAGTCCCAAACATTCATCGGCCATGATCTCAAGAGGTTGACGGTTAACCATTAACCGTTGCAGCCACTGCGAGAGCCCCTAGAGCCCCCAAACATCATAGGTAAAGCGTTCAGGTCAGGAAATTTGGCCCAACTCTGCAGGAGTGCTGGACTCATCACAATCACTGGATGTTCACTCGCACGCGCTGCACGTCCATCCAATTCATCCTGACCGCAAGGTAACGAGAATCAGCGTGTACCCATCAGACTACGGTCTTCAGCGAGCTGAGCGCGAGGCAAGGCTCGCACATGTGGAACTTTTCTTCACCATTAGTCTGTGCAGTGCGCAAATCGAACAGAGAAGGCTGTCGAAGGGCCCTTGATCGCAGATGAGATGAAAAGCTCATCCCTTGACGATGACAACCAAGAGGCGCAGCAAGAAGCACTCAGCGACTCTGGCATGATTAAGCTGCGCAGACGAAACTTCATGTTCAAGAGCCAATCTGCGCAAGATTCTGAGACCGCTAGCACCCGTCAGAACAGCTTCCCGCCAGGGCGGTACCAGGTGGACCGCACGAAGTATTTTTGGGCTTTGGTTGAGTGCGACTCTGAGTCTACCGCTGCATGGCTGTACGATGAAATGGACGGAATCGAAGCAGATGGCCGCGGCCTCGAAGTGGAGCGGAGGAATGCGCGATGGTTCTCTCATGTGGTTCTGTTTTTCCGCTTTTTGGAGTGACCGTGACCGGCTTAGGCATTTGTCCGGGCACTTTGGACCTGCGCTTCGTGCCCTTGGAGCTGGTGCCTCCGCACGAGGCGACCAGTGTGGCGACCGAAGTTCCCAAGAAGTTTTCGGGACCGGCGATGCTTCGGTCTGCCACCGGTCACACGAAGGTGAAGTGCACCTGGGATGAGCCCCCCCCTCAGCGACGCAAAGATCTGATGAAGAAGCGCTTCTCCGCGGCTGAGCTTGCCGACATGGACCTGCGCGATTATTTGGCTTCCAGCTCCGACGAATCTGAGACCAAAGGCGCAGCAGCACAGGAACTGAAAGCGTTGGTTGCCAACAGTGATTCTGAGGGCGGTGCTGACGGGAGCAACTCAGAGACAGAGCAGAGCAAGCCCGGCAGTGCAGGAAACATGGAAGCGACCTTCAGCGTGAAGGCCACCAGGCTTGAGGAAGAGCTGGCAGAGCGTGCGCAGAAGCAAGGTGGGCGAGGAGTTCACACCCTGGAGTCGGAGGAGCCCCAAAGTGCCTGGCAAAAATATTTGGAGAAGCGGAAGGAGAAGAGACGAGAGAAGAGACTCAAGGTAAAGGAGGAGAGGGCTAAGCTCAAAGAGACCATCGCACAGGAAACTGGCAAGGCTACCAAGAAGGGACAGGCTTCTCTGGACGTGTCTGTGGACGGCAGAGAGTCAGGAGATCTGGAGCTGCTTCTCGAACCCGAGCTGGAGCGAAGCGAGCAAGGCCGAAGCTTTAATCTCAGAGGTCCACAGAGGCAAGCTCATGACCGCGGTCTGAAGGACACTGGAGGGGCCTTTCTGATGGATGTCCACGATCGTCGCCTTGAGAAGGTCTTGAGCAGTGCTGACTTCGAGATTGATCCGACCAATCCCGAGTTCCGGAAGTCCGAAGGAATGTCTGCATTGCTCCAGGAGAAGCGAAAGCGCAGAAGCGCCAAAAGCACAAAGACTCTGACTAAACCCACGGACTCCAAGAAGGAGGCGCCTCCCTCAAAGTCCGTGGAGATGGCCTCGGCTGGCTCTGGCTTGCAGATCTTCGCTCAGACCAAGACCAAGAGGGCTGTGGCGCCTCTTAACCAGGCAGAAGTGGCACCGAATGCGGGGCTGCAAAGCAAGAAGCCACGGAGGAAGAAAGCCAAGTGAAGGAAAAAGACGGACAAGTCTCTCCAATGGAATCTGTGCAGATGCAGCTCCAGCATGCCAGGCAGTTAAGAGAAGTAAAGAGTGGTGTTAGCCTGTCTCGTTCGTCGTCGCAAGTTGGCTCAAAGCAAAGGATAATTCAAGGAGATGTGTTGCCAAGACTGCGTATGATGAGCCTTGATGTCTAAGAGCAGCTCAAGGCTCGGCCGCGGCCAGCAAAGTCACCCATGTTGCTTTCAGGAGGGTCTTAGTCTCTGTCAATTCCGCAAATGTACGCATTTTCTGTCGCCAACGTTGCGATCCGCCGGTACTTGGAAGTGCTGAAGGAAAACAGGGAGGCAGCAGGCAGCAGTGGCCCTTGCTGTGCGGGGTGCTTTGCATTGCGCCATACTCGAAGCAACTTGGGCCTGTGTGGAGTTTAGATGTGAGGGCATGCAGTGAGCCATCAGCAAATGCACCCTCCGGCTCCGGCTCGAGGGTATCATATGACTGCAGAACTCGCAAGCAGGGCAAGAGCAGTCAAAATAGCGCAATACGCTACGATAGTTTCACGCACAAAGTATCTGCCCGATTTCCCGCCATGGGTGCTTGTTGACAGCCAGAGCCAGAGAGGTTCACGTTGGCCCATATGGAGAGAGAGCACGTGCCACTTTGCGATCTTGGATTCGGACCACTTGCATGCTTCGTCACCCTGAAACCCCTGTCGACCTGTCATGTTTTCGCGCATTTGAGCGAACATGAACAGCCGTTGGACTCTATGGCATTTGAAAACTCAGATGAGACGAGAGGCAATGTGCAAGAGATGCAGATTCAGGATCATCAGAAGGCGACAGAGCCGGATGCTTCGCAGAAAGCGAAGCAGCAGCACCAATACCAGCTGTCTGACAATGACTCCCCATCGCTGCAAAGCTTCAGCAGTGGCGGTAGCAGCCCAAGTTCTGTGAGACCCAGGCATCCCAGACCGCGTACACCGCGTCAAGCTGTGCCAGTGCGGCACCTTACTGGAGAAATGGCAGCACGAGGCCAGATGAAAGATACTAGCAAGACAGCGATCCTCCGCGACAATTCTTCATGGAAGCATGAGCTGGGGCAACCAGCGCATCACCCGCATTCCCACGTCACGGGGAACGAAGAAACGGATCGGCAGCTTTTGCTTGAAGCCTGGAAGTCATGCCGCTTGATAGAGGCCACACCTGGAAATGTGCTCTTTCGACCTTTCGACCTAGTGACAGAGACTTAGTCTGTAGTGTTTCTCTCAGTACTCGCCTCCTCGGACTTCTTCCGGTACCCGAAATCGTTTAGGGAGAGGTCTAAACTTAGGGAACTAGTCCAAACGCCTAGCCAGATTGGAAAAGGCCAGGGCATGCCAGGGCGCAGCCAAGCTTTAAGAAGGGAGAACAACGCAGCAAGTGTTAGGCAGGCACAACATGTACTAACATGTCGAGTTTTGAACTTAGTAGGCTACCGTGGCTAGCTCTTGCACGCTTCCTGTCAAACGTCCAGCTTATCAAGGATCTTGAAGACTTTAAGTTTCTTGATTCAATCCGACAGCCGTCGTGAGAGGATCGTCAATCTCGCGCTTGTGACGTGCAGATTTTGGGTTTCCGCACCTGCCTTCAGCGTCATTACGACTTTTCGGCATGGATGCAACATGGCCAACCCATCACTATGATACCCGCACGCGGTTCGGCACCTACCTCGTGCACATTCACAGTGCTTCCGGGGGCTGGGGCTTGAACGCGAAAGTGAAGGAGGAAAGTGACGACTTTGGAGGCCTCGAGGCTCTGCAAGGCTTGTGACATCGACGTCCGTGGGCGAGTCTCTTTGCTGTCCGTTGGGTGTACTGTAACATTCACGTCTTACCAGATGCTGGATCACGAGCACTGCTTGGCTCCTCGTTCTGGCCCCATCAAGACATCCTAAAGTGCGACTTAGTGCTCTTATTGACATCCTGCTTGCAATTTGATCATCGCCATTCTCAGTCGCTAGAGTGTTCCAATTATGAATCTGAGCAAGTTTTCGCAGGCCAGCCGTTTGGTCCAGAAGTCCCGGTCCTCGAAGAGGCATTTTCATGAGATCCTGGACGAAGCATCGCTGGAAGTCATTCATCGGGTTGAAGCCAACTACACGCAGGAGCCTTGGCTTGCAAAGACGACTTTGCATCGGACGCATTCTAAGTGCTAGAGCCATACCGAAAAATCGAGTAAACGGGCCTTGAATTACGGTTACGTTTCCGAAGCAGGACTTTTGCACTCACCGAGTCCGGAGCAAGCAGATCAACAACATGTGCACCATAAAGGGATATAGTCGGCAGTGACTATGCCGAGAGACAAGCTTGATCAGTCTACTTTCTGACAAGAAGATGTCGAACGTTCGCGCTTCGGTAACAAGCTGGTAGCTGGTTTATTCGGTGATGTGGTCGTTCGACACAGCGTGCCTGGAGTGTGAGCACATCGGACGTGTCCTCGTTGTGATCACTCGTGTGCTAAGTCTTTGGATGAGCTTATGCAGCATCATGGCAGCGGCTGGAGGAAGGACACGCCCAGAGCAGACGGCAGCGATTTAATGAACACTTAACTAGCCACTCGAAGCCTCCGTTGCGGCCACACGGTATTGCTCTTGATCGAGGTAGTGCAGAACGAACGGCCTCAGCTTAAGATCTGCAGGAGCGCGACGAGAAGCGTGATCTGGACATGGCCTTTAGGTTGACGCATGACAACTTGCAAGCTGTGGCCGCGACTGTGTTCAGTGGCTTCAGCCTCATCCAAATTTTTGATGCATTACGCGATTATGTTCAACAAGATGAGTACAATGACGACACATACGTCGGTCAGTCGCGACCTCGGTTGCCTCACCTGGCCGAGTCCCCGGCGGCTCGTGGCACGTAAGGGTTTTTGAACTGAAGGTTGGACAACGAGCTGATGCAGGACTCCCTGCTCCATGTTCGGCGACATGGACATGGAGATGTTGAAGACAACATTCTGCACTTCAGCTGCACGGACGCTTTGGACGAACCACTCGGCGCGCTGTGGTGCGGCTGTCCAAAACATCTTGGGGCTCAAGAATTGCATCTGTTGTGAACACCGCCAGCTGTCGACAGGCTGTCCAGCTACACTCCGCCCTTGAAGAGGGGACGTCATGCCCGAAGCTTCCGGGGCATTCCTTTACCCAAGCCACAGACAGGCAGACAACTCAGTGCGACGTCGAGAGACATGGGATGGAGACCCTTCGTAAACAACATTCGCCTACCATGGCTTAACTTATGTAGATCAAAGATGACGCCTTGAGGTGCCGTGCGCCTCGCATTTTGGCGCAGCTCATTTGCGATTGCTCCGGTCTGGAGTGGCGTTGCCGCCACCGCACCCAGTGCCGTCAGGGTCACCTATGCAGTTGCCAGACGACCCTCATCTGCTGCCTCCATATTCCCCAGCAGAATGTACCGTGAGGCCTGTCGTAATTCAATGCTTGGACACAGTGGGAGTGATGCGATGTCGATCGGACAGGTTTCCAACAGGCTCGCCAAGTTCAAGGATTTCCTGCACATGCGGGAAGAGAGAGCGGGCACCTACGCTGACTGTGACGTATACAATCACATCAAAAGGTGCGGAGCATCGGCATGTGCGATGGCATGACATGCGCATGGCGGCACGGTTTGTTTTTGTAATCAGCCTCGACGTGCTGCTGCTGCTGCTGCTGTTGTTGTTGTTGTTGTTGTTGCTGCTGCTGCTGCTGCGTTTTGCGATGGACCTTCGCATCCTTGGCATGTCCTTTGCGGAGCATCGGTGCAGGCACCTCATGGAGTGCGCGCCTCACGCCTCCCGCAACGACGAAGTTTCCTTCGAGGATCGTAGTTGAGTTCAATGGCTCACCTGTGCAGCTGCCACTGCGCTGCTGCTGTTGTTGTTGTTTTTCTGTCAGGTGCCAGAGTAATGACAACTACTGAAGTGAAGCGGATGACAACAGCAAATGCCACTATTGCTGTTCCTGTTCTTCCTGCTTCTTCTTCTGCTTCTTCTTGCTGCTGCGTTGAGGCTTTGTGTCGTTGCTTCCCACTGCTGGTGGGCGTCGTCGTGCTGTTGTTGGTGATGGTGTTGTTGAGCCAATGCTCCTCCTGCCGCTGTTGCTGATGCTTTTGGCGATAGTTGTCGTTGTCGTCCTCTTCTCGTGCTCGTTGTTCGTCCTCATTTTCGTCCCTATCGTCATCCTGGTCGTCACTCTCATCGGCTCTTCGTCTGCATGTTGCTGCAAGCGGTGGTTGTTTTCATGGAAATATGATCGTCGTTGGCGTTTGCCTGGCCCATGCTGGTAGCAGTGTCGGTCTGCAAGGAGCTCGCCTCCATTCTACCTGATGACTGGGCAGATTACCATGATGCCGAGCATGTTAATGACTTTCGCTAACGCCAGCAGTCAGAAATATGTGACCCCTGGCCAGACTTTATTTTCAATTGCAACACTTCCGTGCGAGTGCTTGCAGGCTTTATGTCAATGCTTTGTTCCTGCTGGGAGCTCGATTCTTTGCAGCCCATGTCGGCCTTCGCGAGAAAAGCAAAGAATTTCCCGTCCACGCGACGCATGTCATAATCCCTTTGATTTAGCAGTCTGTTGCTGTGTCACAGCAGGCTCAACCGTTGCATGATGCAGCTCAGAAGCCTGGCTCATTACAGGAGCTCGAGAAAGCAAGCATGTGACCCAAGAGTGTCAGGGAGCACTGCTAAGAGCACATTCCTTCACCTGATGGCCCTATTCCTAGCAATTGGTGTGTCTCCGCATCGGCACCGCATATGAGGTGGAACCCTGGATCGCCACTGGTGGAAGCCTGTCGTGCTGAAGTAGCGAGCACTGCGCCATGTCAGGTTATTGAAAAAAGTGGGAGACTTGCTGGACACAGCCGATGAAAAAACAACAGAGGCGAATCTGGACACATTGACGAGGCCGCACCCATCACATGAAAGGAATGAAGCATTTTTCACACAATGTTCAAAGAGGCATGTGGGAGATGCCTTCGGAGGCAACTCGAACGAGGCCACGTGTGCAAGAAAGAGAGAGTTATACAGTGAGCTCGAAGACCCATGATGAGCTTTCGGTTTTCACTTCCGATTCGTTGAGAAGCCTGCAATCGGGTACACCATGTCAAAACGCGGTCCTCGCTTCTTGCAGTTTGTGTTGGCTGCCGGTTAGTTGCGCTTTAGGTGCATACCGCAGATCCTTGCAGGCAAGTGGACTCAAGCTGGACCTGGGCATCGTCGAGGCCGTGCCCGCAATTCTGCCAGAGCTGGACTAGCTTCATCAAGCGCTTCAACAGTCGGCCAACGCGCCACTGTTCTTACAGTAGCTAGGCGTGCTCAACTGGAATGCTGCGACCCCGTCTCACTTCAGGGCCATTAGCCGCATTCAGTATCGACAGCAACAGCGTCACATGGGTGGAAGAGCGACCGTAGAACAACACGAAGCTGCTCAGACGGCCGTCCAAGAACCCCGACATAAACTCCTTAGCTGCCCTTTGTAAGGACGTGATAAGGGTCTAACAAGGCCTATCCAGGGGAGTAGAGAGACCCTGTACCCCCCCCCCCTTTAGTCGACCACAGCGATGACAATAAAATTCGCCAACCCCAGTGGGCTGCAGAGGACCCTGCCGCGGAATTTGAGTTTAACGTTCGCATTCTAACATGTCCGTTCTTGCGCGGTGCTGCCACACACACTGCGGAGCTTACCAGCATAGGCTTGGAAAGCTTTACTTCATTTGATTTGATGCCTTCGCAGCGTCGTGGAGTTTGAAAGCCATAGCCATGCTTGGCAGGGCCTGGCCGACCTCAAAAACCAGATCGGCACGGACTTGAAGGTGCCGAGACGGCAGACGGCGCTTTATTGGAGAAGATCGCATTGCATAGTTTCCAAAGCGATGCGGGTTACCCTCTGCGAGAATTTTCCGACAAGTCGTGTCGCAGGGCCTGGGCGTGCCGCGCGACAGAGGCTGAATTAACATTTTCGATATGTCTCGAGTCTCTGACGGTCTCTGTGAGTTTCTGTGAGCCGTGAGCAGACTGGCCTGCTGCAGGCACGGAGGTGGACACTGGCGTGAGGCAGGAGGAGAGGGTGCAGGGGCGGGACCATCCTGTCCTCCAGCATGGATAGAAAAAGAAGGGATGACCTTGCAGACCAGGGCACGAATGCATGCGAGGGGTGGAGCGGTTCCTTTCCTTCTTTGGCTGTGTGGAAGAAGAGCGCGAGAGAAGAGAGAGGCAAGGAGAATGTAGAACCCCAACACCCTTGCAAAGAAGAACATAAAACGCCCCGTGCTCCCACAACACGATTTTTGCATCCCCGACTCTGGGACTCTGGAATGTACGGGGCTCAGGCAAATGTCTGTAAACATGCGATTCGAGCACCGATTGAGGCACCAGCCGATTCAAGCACTGATTTTAGAGCGAGGTTTTCAGGGTCTGCTGTCCGTTTTTTCTGGGTTTGAAGATTTGCAGTTGGTCAGGAAGGGAGATCGCGATCTTGAGGTTTGTAGGGTTGAAGGCTTTGGGTCTCGCCAAAAGGAGAGCCGAGATTTCAGGGTTTTCGGATTGAGGGCTTGGGGTGTTTGCGGTGTTTAGAGTTTGGGGTTGCAGGTTTAGGAGTTTCGTTTTCGGGGTATCAACAGGGCTCTTTTTACGGGATAGGTTCTGGGGCAGGGTTTTAAGTTTTGAGGTTCAGGCTGTAGGCTTGGAGGTATATCCAACGCCAGATGCCAAGGACAACCTTTTCTCAAGGGTTTTCGAGTCTTAAGTTCAGGGTGTAGCAAAGAAGAACCACAGTCCATTGGCTTCGGCCTTGTGACCGGACGGTCGGAGTCAGGTCATGTGAGAGGACCGCAGTCCGACATGGCACTTCGCATGAGTTGTGAGGTTGGCGGCCTTGAAGGAGCGAGTCGAGGAGCTACACGCCAAGGAGGCGTGCGAATGCTGCATGCATGATGGTTTCACTATGGCTCAGCTGCGAGGCCGAGAGAGCAGAACACCGCAGTCGATTGCAGACACAGGTGCTCGAGGCGACCATACTGTATGCGTTTCGGATCTCGAGTTGAATTCGTCCGAGAACTGCCCAAATCATCGAGCCATCCCGAACACTGAACACGAAGATTCACAATTGGCAGGTAGAGCGTGCCATCAACGAGAGGCGCCGCACAGCGGAGGTGGGAGTTTTTCGAAAGCGCGGAATACCAGTCCAGTGGTGGCAACTGAGAGTGCAAGCAGGCGCCCACCACGCGACAACCTGTTCAGGAATCCCGATTGGAGGCGAAGCTCTCCAAAAGTGTCTCGTTCCAAAGTCGTCGTCCTTTGATGCTTGCAGGAGCTGAGACGCGAATTTCACGATCGTGAGGCATCTTTGACCTGCAGGGCTCCTGCCCATTAAACTGTTCTCAAGGGAGAAAACGGCTGCAGTACCAAATTACATCAAATTACCATCAGCAGCTCCTTGTGACGATTCGGCGGTGGCCTGGCTGCTCGAGGGTGGATGATAGCAATGTGCTTGCCAGCGAGGCACAAGCATTGCAGCGTGAGGGGTCTATTGCCGCGACCACCACCCAGGCGCAAAAGCACAGCAATGTCGGGTCGTTGCAAGGATGATGCCAGATGTTCTGTCAGATCGCAGCCAACAATGAACACCTGACACAGCAGCTCGACTTCTGGAAAGAGAAGGCGGAATGTCGCAAAGACGACCTCGCAGAGTAGTCGACCCTGGAAAGGCTAGCCAGCTGTTGGCTTCTCTTGGCTTGGAGACTGTGCCCGAGGAGCCTCAGCCCAGTAGCCGCAAAGCCCTGGAGAGCGTCGCTCTCGCTCGCAGGAAGTGGAGCACGCAATTGCTCAGCTGGAAGAAGGTCGTGAGCAGAATGAATCAGCTGACCAGGCGGCCATCGAGTCCGAGCTGTGGGTGCATGTGCTCATTTGTTTTGACGTGGAGTCGGAGGTGAAATCAACCCCGGCAGCTAGCACATCAGATGCCAGCGTTGTGAAGGTATGAGTCTGAGTTTTGGTCCCAATTGTCATCGTTGTCACTAGCGCTGCGCCATGAGGGGAGGCAGTGAGCAAGCATTCAGTTTGCGACGGCCAGGAGCATGCGGATGAGCAATGTGCAGTGCAGGCAGAAATCAGCTGCGATCTCGTTTCTGCATGCTTCCTGGTATACTTCGAGTAGACCTGTTCTGCATTTTCTGCTACGGTTTGCATGTCTCGGGGCTTCGCAGGACTTGGAAGCCATGCTGGCAGAGTTGATGCGGAGATCCGAGGAGATAATGGGTCGCGTTGAGCAGCAGCGACACCAAGAACGGGCTTTGCCGGCACGGTTGGGGTTGGACAAGCTCGCACAGCTGTTCAGTGGGTCCGAGCCAGCTCTGCAGGATTTGCTCTGGCAGCTCGGCAACGCGCAGGACAGCCCCGAGAGCTCGAGACATCAAGAAACCGCTTTTGCCTCCGATGCCTTGAGCCTCGATGAAAGAGCAGCTTCGATGCTACTGCTACTCGTATCAGGAGATGGCAGCCAAGGAAGCCAAGGCAGTTTCAGAATGCCAGTCCCAGCTGGAGATGCGAGAGACAAAGGCCGAGCCTTTAAGATCGCTCTGTTGGTGCAATTGTGCAATCCTCTGTCTATGGCCTCTGAGGCACGCTCACAACGAGCGCTGGGCTTAGGACAGCGTGTGAGCATGTGCCAACGGTGTAATTTGCGGCATGCGGCGCACTTGACGCGCTAACATGCTATGCTGTACGTACACACCTGCGCTGCAAGCTACATGTTGCAGTCAGCTATACGAGTTGAATCGAAGTATCCCTATGGCACGCCGCGGCAGACTCCATCGTCAACTAAGACCTGGGATCGCAAATTCTTCACTTCCGCTTGTTTTCCTCTAACTCCGAGTCAGGTGAGTATGCAAGCGGCTGCCACACCGGCTAGGATGGACGAAGTTATGCAGCTGCGAGCTGAGGCAACGCACGATTATCAATACAAGTCAGTCTGCCTGAAAGATTCTGAAAGGCCCTAGGGAGTATTCAGCTCTCTGCTGGATCTTTGCAGGTGGAGTCTTTGCGTTCATGCCTTGAGTCCAGTACAAAGGAGCGCAGGAAGCTTGAGGCATGGGGTGGCCGGGGTGGCTGTGTCTAAGAGACTTTGAGCTTCGCTGGAGCGCTCTGCAGGCGCAGCTCGGAAAGCACCGCGCAGCGGCGGCAGCCGACCTGGAGCGAGCAGTGAGCAGTTCTGAGCCGTTGAGCGCAGGTGCGTAGAGGGAACGAAGCCCTCATTGCTGTGCAGGTACCGTCGTCGACCACAACATGCTGGACTTGGCTGGATGTTCCACTCATGAGGAGTCTTGCCGGCGTTTGCAATGTACAAGTTGCAGGAAGCTCCGAGTCTTTACTTCATGTTGAGTTGTGGCGAGAGTGGTTGGAGGCTGGTAACGCTGCTGGTGAAGTCGACCTGCTTGCGAAGATCCTTTGCTTTGCACTTGTTGGCCACGTGCGCCAGCTTCCGCCATCCAGTTGCTTTGAGGATCCCGTGTAGATGTTACCAGGAAACTCGGGCCGATAAGTGCTCAGCCTGCTGGCTTTGTTGAGAGTTGCTGCTGCCGCAACAGCCCAGAAGAGTGCAGGGAGTGTCCCCAGGCATGTACCGTCATAGGCGGCTTACGGCCCAGTTTCGTTGGAAGGCACCTCTCTCGGCTCAAGGCACAGGGAGTTGCGCAAACGTGCACACATCATGGCCAGGCACCGCACTCATCATTCCAGAAGAAATGCGGTAGCTGCTACTTGTACCAAAGTATGAATGACTCTTCCCCCAACTCTTGCAACTCACAAGGACAAACACAATTTGACAATTTCTTGCGTTGCGGCGGAGCAGAGAAAGAGCCATTGCACCTTAAAACAAAAACACCGGGACCTATGAGATGCGGGACGCCCTAGACCGCCCCTGTACCGCACCGCCGCCACGCCACCACCCCCTCTCGCTGAAGCTTGCATCTCGCATCGACGGATTCCGTCTCGGCAAAAACCCCACGCTCGTGGAACGACTGGAGCGGAAAGGTTCACCTCAATCATGGACGCTCGTTTGCATTTCCCAGCCCTTGTGAAGCACAGGATTCCAAGCTCGAATGTCGCAGCCGCCGATTATTGGAGTCCTTGGAAACTTCAGAAGCGTTTCTGACGACGTTGGTTCAAGAACTGTGTCTTTCCGTCCCATGCCCTCGTTTGCTCACTCGGCCGCCCTTCCCCGCCCGCGCAAAAGAAAGGCTCGCTCAGATGCCCCAGTCACCTGCGCACCCAACATCAACCAACCACCCATCCTCCTTACTTCCCTCAATGCCTTGAATTCAGCTTTCCCTCCCTCCCAAGTCGTAGACGTGCAGTCACCTGGACCGGCTGACAGTTTCCGATGATCTCTGACCACATCGAATCCTGGGGTCCGCAGGACTGGCTTTGCAGGCTCACTGTAACACGTCGTGGTGCAGGAACAGGCCACCGCATGATCCGACCCCTCTTACTCCACAGAATGCATACAGTCTGCTACCATCCCACTTGCATCAGCAAGTCTATTTGTTGATATTGTCGCATCAGCCGGTGAGCAGAGTGCCGCTTCACTGCCACCAAGGGAAGGCACGCTTGCCGTTCGGAGCGGCAATTCTGCCAGGAGGTTCAAGGCAAAGCCTGCAATGCAGAGATGTAAAACCTGCAATCGGGTGGGTCATGTCTTTGCTTGCAGGCCTCTCTAGCCGGAAGCCGAAACACAGATTTCCTCAAGCTGGTGGAAAGGACGGAGGTGGGAAGCTTCGTGAGATAGGACGCCGACGTTGTCAGAGATGCGACACCTGAGGGTGCTTTCCAGTCTGGCGATGACACAGCTGTGGAGGACTTCACTCCGAGCATGGCATGCGCATGTTCCAGCAGCACTAGCAGTTGGTGAAGCCGAAGCTAACCTCCAGTGCTTGCAGCCGAAGCTCCAGCGCATTGTTCCGCTTTTGTTGTTGTGGTTGTTGTTGTTGTTGTTTGCGGCAGGAAGTTCGACGAATCCTGGCAGATGTCCGGACTCAGTACGACCAGGTTCACGTTGAAGCTGAACGTCGGGAGGCCAGGAAATCTTGGGCCTGGCACCGCTGACGAGAGACGCGCGCAGGCTGAGATCGCCATGCTTCGTGAGCAGATTCGGGCTGCAGATCGAAATTACGGCTACGGGAATGACGAGTCATCCAAGAAGGAGGCGGGAGAGAGTGTTGCAGCCAAGAACACCCTCCGACTCTTTGGCCATTGCGTGAATGTCCTCAGTGCAGGACTCGTATCAATCGGTCTTCAAGCAATATATTGACATCGTCGGCGTTAAGGGCAGGGGGGGAGTGCAGCACTTGGTATTCCGTATTCCGTGGAGTCTAGTCTGGCGAAAGAGAATGTGGAGATCTGACTTCTGAGGCGATAGATGAGGCGAAGACCACGAAGAAGGTGTACGATCACATGTGTGAAAGGTGCCCGCTTGGTGGTCCCTACCGCCATCGTAGTTCCCATGCCTGGGAGGATCACCAAGGAGCAGTCTTTGCTGAAAGAGAAGCTTGTCCTCATGGAGGATGGCAGAACAGGGAGCTACTGGATGTTGTGTAATGTTGTGTAACGAGTGTGTGGTTGTGTGCACCTGTGCTATCCATGCGCGAACAGGCACATCTGCAAAGAAAGAATGCCGAGTCCCGGAGAAAGGCTCCACGGCTTCCCAATGATTGGTCGGCTTGTGTGCGTGTGTGTACATGATGCGCACGCAGCGTGCAGGTCGCTGTCCAGGAGCGACTTGTTCGAAAAGGGGCCCAGTGTTCGCAGGACCGGTGCTGACTGGGGTTATCGATGGCAACTGTTAATTGATTGGATTGTGGAGTGTGCTGTTCGAGGACCTGGACATTCTGGAACAAGACGTCGAGCACGAGCGAGTGGTACGTTGTTGCCTCTAGCCTCTCTAGCCATCTCTGGCCTCGAACTTCCAGCTCGTTCCGGGTCATGCCCGGAACCCATCCGCTCGTATTCGGAGAGGTACGCCATGAAGCTTTAGCGAAGATGAGTTCTTGTTTGCAGGCCTTCAAATAATGATCCACACGGTGATAGGGTGAAGCCAGCAAGCTTGAAGCGGATGCAGGCGAAAATCCAAGCAAAGGAAGACCGGGCAAGATTTGAGCGATGGCGCCACACGGTCCGGCCTCGAGGGCTCTAGCGCCTCCGTATCAATGTCAGTCGTCAGCTAAATTAAGTTTGTCCGCGTACACAGATCGCGCTCGATGCGGCCAATGAAGCCTTCAATGCCTCTGCTGGCCGTCTTCGTAAGCTTTATGCGGCGTTGCTGGCAAATTGAAGATGCTCAACATTGCTCAACCCTCGGCCCCCGGCAGAAGTGTCGGGCCCTGCAGTGGCCCCCTGCCAGGTCGAGAAGCTGGCAGGCAATTGCTTGCAGAAGGTAACCTTTGAGCAGGCAGTGCAGCGAGCAGTGCAGCCACGATGGGGGGCGAAAAGATGCATTTGCCCACTCAGGTGGAACGCTCGCAGAACACCGAGGATGGCTTTCAGAAGATCCGAGAGGCTTCAACTGTTGCGCAGTGAGATGAGGGTCGGGTGCACCTTCTCGCAAGGTGACGGGCCTGGCAGATGTCATGGACATTGTTCACAAGCTCCTCGGCGTCCCATGGACACGGTCCAGTCAACATGCTGGCGGCCCCTGTGTCCAGGTTCCTGAACAGGGATGTAGAACATGAAGCACTGAAGAGCTCAGTCAAAGAGGCAGAGGCTTGCCGCTCAAGCAAACTCTTCGTGCTGTTTTTGATGTCCTGCAAATCCAAGTATGCTGGAGGTCCGTTTGGACAATCTGCGAGAGCAGTTTGAACGCTTTAAGCGTGATACAGACGGTGGAGGGCCAAGCTTCAAGCTGTCCGTTCGCAGCACGTGGCTAGGAACGTAGCTACGAAGGCGTCACCTTTGACACTGACACGTCTGGCAAGTCCCGTGCCATTTACCTCGAGGCATTTCAAGTTTTTCCTAGCCTACTGGCATCCTGCACAACGGAGCTGAAAGGTCGAGGAGCACGAAGCCAAACTCAACTTGTGTCAGAAGGACAGAAGTGTTCTGATCATGCAGTCGGAGAAACAATCTCCAGCCACCTACTTGAGGAGCATGAACAAAGCCGTGAAAAGCTCCAGCAGAGCACATTACAGGCTTGGCTGTACTTCTTACGGTGTAGGGCATCGAAAGATTGCGCGAGATCGGTTTGTGTTGCATTTTTGTGTTGACCACACTTCGGCGGCCGATTACTCCAAGGTTGAGCACATGAAGCGCTGGGCCAATCGGATGGGCAGATCTTTATCGATGTTTGAGGACCTTGCGGCGGATGCACAAGCATGAACGTAGTTATGCTGTGAGGTTTTGATGTTGTAATTACTCCAAGCAAAATATGTGTGGAACACCCTCGATGTTTTGCCATGCATGAGCCGGGAAGTTGTTGAACACACGCATCAGAGGCAAGGCCGCTGCACCAGGTCAGGAAGCAGCACCCGGCATCCACCATCTCCAAGTGCTGAAGCTGATTTGCTCCAATTCAGGGCATACAGACGACTCGTGGTGAAAGGACTGTCAGCGTGTGGAGAAGGCATCTGATCTTCCTGCCAACCCCTCAGCACACTTGGGCTGTCTAAGCGTAGCGCTGGCTCGCAGCTCGAAGCATCTGAGTTTGAGGTATTTTACAACCAGATGCAGCGTGCTGTCGACAAATTCGTTCAGAACATCGCTCAGCTCATCTCCTCTGGCAAGGCATTCGGTTTGTGTTGGCGATTGTTGGCGGCTAACTGCAGGCTAGCAAGGTTCTTCGAGCATCAGGTGCAGAGGAAGAACATGTCTCAAGCAGGCAGCAAAGAGTCTCAGGAGGCGCGGGCAAAGTCTGTGCAAGTGTTTTCCAACTGATGCATATCACCGATATCACCTCTGCAGGCTCGCCGGCTCCTGACAGACAAGGACTTCCTGAGAGCATGCGACTCAGTTTCTGCGACGCCACGCCAGCGAGACGCAGCTTGGAGCGGAGATGCGACAGGCCAATTGCCGCGTCTTGATTCCCGGGACGGCCTGCCTCTGGGAAGTTGCCCATGAGATGACGTAGAATCGCACATGATTGCACCTTGCCGTGCAGGGTGGCAAAGATGCTCCGGAAGAAGACGCAGACGAAATCCAGAAGCATGATCGAGACAGGCTGGGCCTAGCTCGAATTTTGATGTGCCGCAGATTAGATTTAGATCCGTGACTGCGAGGTGCAAGAAAGAGTCATCAGATCGTGTGGCACTCGCTGAGATGCAAAAGAAGAAAGGTGGAGTCAAATGAAAACACAGCTACACAGCAGCGAACTGCCTAGCGGCCCAGCAGCAGCGCGCCAGATGGGTGAAACACTGCTGTCATGACTTCGCCGACTTCCATTTGCGTGTCGGAGGAACCATGTTTCACTTTTTTAGCTTCGCAATTGCTGAATCAGGCGGTTGTCTGTGGCATTAAATGTGTGCTTGAGCTGACATCTCCTGCTTTGAGCTCTCATGCAACCTCACATAATTCCACTCGAAGATGTTGGAGGTACTCCTGGCTGTTCTTCCTGGTGTTCTGGCTGGAGAAGCACCCATGAAGGCAACATGCCACAACCACAGCAAAATCATGTCATTCCCTTGTTGTGGTTTGCAATATTTCATGTCATAGATCTGACGTTTTTACCGGAAATTTACTATGTGCCCAGTTCGACGAGCTGCGACTTCTGCGATGTGCCTGTGCTCTAGGTACCGCGGTCACTCAGAGCCCGCGGATGCCGGTCGGAGGACGCCGCGACCTCTTCGGCACACGGGCCAGATGCAGAAGAACTTGAGCATTGAGCCTCTGTCCTCAAGATCGTCACATCCACTGATTTCGCGAGTCATGGAAGTCGCACCACTCGAACTGAACTGCTGCGTGAGACTCCAGCGGGACCGCCCTTCGCGATGTTTAGCAGTAGCAGACTGCGTGTTCTGCAGCACTTGGAAGAATCTGTTGTGAACAAGGAGCGATTGCTAGCTGGTCGAAACAGCAGACGGGGCCGAGCCGAGTGCCAAAGGGGTAGCCGCATGCCACAAGCACTCAATGTGTTCGGTGTTCTTGCTGTGCCGAAGCCCTTGCCAGCTCAACAATCATCATGATGTGCCGTTTCACATATTCCACTTACCCTATAGTCTTGTAGCTCCTGCGGTGCTGCTCAGACCGCATTCAGAATTCAGGGATGCGGTCCGCTGAGTCTTCCTCGGTTGCCTTTTCAGGCAGCTGGGCGCACATCCAAGGTTTGAACGACGCAGGCCCAAACATGGAAGTACAGTCTCGGCCTCCTCCCCCCACTTCACCACCGCCCCCACCAGAGGCAGGCAGTCCAGATGGGCATAGTGGCATAGTATGACAGTGACAGTGAGTGCGCCTAAAGTCCAAGCCTGAATGCAGGCGTATAAGCCTCGGGAAGCTGCTTTCTATGGTCGGCTGAAGGAGGCCCCCGGCCCAAAAAAGTGAGCTCAGCAAGCCCAAAGCGCATCTCAGCAAAAAGCCTGGAGTGAGTTGCCGCCTTTGGAGGCCACGATGGATCTGGGAGCGGCGCATATCGACTCCTTGCGCTCCTCGGCTCAGCCTCGGCTCAGCGGCTCTCAGCGGCTCTCTCTTCGTCTCGTCCTCGCTTGAAGGGCTTTGGTCGGCTGCAGGTGCCATCTTCACTTCGCGGGTTTTGCAGACCCGGACCCGCCTGCATGGCCTGACGACCGGCAACGTGCAGCTGAGCTCGAGAGTCAAACGCGACCGTGAAGACTCGAAGGCTTAGCTTTTCCGGCTTAGGCACGGGCCTGGAGATCACGATCCGAAGCTGTCGGGTCTTCGAGCGCGAAGCTGAAAGACTGAAAGAGTTTAAGACAGTCTAAGAGGATGGCTGCGCTTCTTCTTTGCTTTTGCAAGGGCAACGTTCTCGCGCTGGGGCTTGGCCTCCTGGAGAGGACTGAGGCGGCGGAAAGCTGAAAAGTGATGAAAACTATATTCCGGACCTCCGGGCGATGATTAGCTGCTTTGGTCTTCGAAACTCGAAAGGCGGTCTTGGATCTGCTTCTGCAGCTAGCAGATACGGAGAGCGCAGAGCACCAGGCCAGGCCCTCAAGCCGTTCAAAGAGACATCCCGTTCTGATTGAGACGCAATACTATTCAGTGATCTTCGGTGCATTACTGGCTGAGGTGGCTGCGATCAAAGATGAGGAATTCGAAGGTCGGGGCGTCTCGACCCTGCTCCCATACAACGCGCTGATCGCACGTTGAAGTGAGGCGACCATGACCGCCGGGGTGGCTTTTTGCACGTGCCCCGAGTTCTATCCACACAGGCACGCTGAGTTGCGCAAACAGCAAACATGCTGCATCTTTGCGTGATCCGCAGCCAGACTCGAAGGTCTTTCAGTCTTTTGCTGTGCCGCTGACAACATCTCGCACTGTAAAAGTCACGATCGTCGGCGTGCAGGCGCCCACGAGATCACTATCACACTAGCCCTTAGCCAGTGGCAATCTGCAGAATGTTCTTATCAGTGGCACTGCGGGCCAGGACACTTGTGTATCGATTCTGCAGCTCCTACGTGTGCAAGAGCTGTGGCAGACTCTTCGAGGTCTACACAGCTGGGCTCAGGACACAGATGAGCTTGATGAGCCAGGTGGCGGGATGTTGCACGTGAGCTGCAGACAGGAGAAGCAGAAGGAGCTGACAGATGAAGGCTCGACTGAGAGACCAGCTGTTGCAGTTCGAGCCGCCAATTTTGCGTGAGAAGCTCGGGCTGATCGGGCTGTCCCCGACATCGCGCATCGCCCGACGAATATTCGGAGTACTAATCGCCTCTTCTGCCGAGGCGGCGTGGGTGCGAAAAGCTGCTGGGCGATCGGCTAGGACGGCTCCTGGACAGTGTCTCTCCAAGATGTACGATGATCTCTCGGCAATCTATTGCCAGTTTACACTGTCCCTCATCTGATGGTTCGAAGAACATTTTTTGAGGCCGCGTGTTCGTGCACCTCTTGGGGCGACATGCGCCGAATGATGCCGAGGTTGCCGGCTTTGTCCATTGGTTGCAGGCAACTTCCGGTGCAGCGTTTGAACACCACAAGTTCGGCAGGAGGTTCGAAGTAATCTCGATGAAGCTGGACAGGCGGGTGGCTTGTTGGCCTTGATTAACACTTGGCTGTCACACCTAGCAACAACCGGCACTGGCACAGGCTCCAGGCTTGTTTGTGGAGGAGATCTTCCAAGAAGTTTCTCCTGAACACCATGACATCATGTAGCTTGCTTAGCTTCCTTGGCTTGCTTGTAACCTGGGTTCCCTCCCCTCCCGGCCCTGGTCCACTGGCGTTCTTTTGTGTGTGAGGCTTGCAGACCTTGGGGAGCTGCAGACCGGAAGCGGCCGTGGCATCCAGCTCGTGGTGAAGAATTCCTTCTTCGAATTGGTAGAGGCTGTGAGCTCACCCCTTGGCCCTTCACAGCTCAGACGAGTCGATGTCCTACGACGTCGAAAAACTGATACCAGGAAGAGAGCCCGCGAGAGATGCGACGAGCTCGCTCCTGCGATGCAGTGCTGACTCTGGGCCTCGTGGAGCAAGCGCTGCAGGCCCGAAGCAAGTAACGTAAATCAAGATGCGCTCCTCTTCACATGAGAGTCGCTGATGCTCGCAGGCTGACGTTTCCGCGAGGCTCGCATCGCCAAGCTCGACATCCAGAAGGTGTTGTGAAGCTAGTGAAGGCGGGCTCTGCGGCGTTACGCGGCTATGCGAGGCGGCTATGCGCCAAGCGATCGGACAAAAGTCTCGTGCCGACTGTCATTTGTGCAGGTTCCCAGAATGGTGTGGCTTCTGATGCAGTGAACACTGGGAGCGCTGGCAGCTCCTATGTTAAAGCTTCAGGAGGGCCCGGTGAACCTGGCGTTGTGTCCAGTTCTGGCAACGACACTGCCACGAGTGCAGCCGTGCCATCATCCTCCATGCCTTCGAGACTAGATCAATCTTCGGCTGATGATGCGCTTGTTGGTGAAGCCAGCCCAACCCACCAAGGCCACCGAAGCCTGCACACAAGCGGAGCATGGCAGTGACAGAATCGAGTCCTCGGGGTGCGTTCGTGAAAGGTGAAATCATCGAAGATGCTGATCGCATGACTGTCAGCGACTCAGTCACACCGGCATGGAATGGGTCTGGCCAGCAGCCAAAGGCTCCTGTCAATTGCTGATATTGCTGGCAGCCTGCATCACAAGAGAACGTAACAAGCAAGTGCATTTGATGACGTCGCTAAGTAACTTCCTGCAACAGCTGCACCGCTCATGGACAGAACGAGACAGAACGAGTCAGACTTCCAGGCTGCGTGTCTGGGTCCCAATGCTGAGACAATATCCTACGACTGCACGACAAAGGCCTACAGGCATGCCTGTATGATTGTATGCATGTATACTACGTCGAACCATTTTGCAGATGAATTTGCGCAGTGTGCATGCAGACACGTATAATTGCTTGTATCCACATATTTATATATAGTATGTAATTGATACATGTAATGAATCTGAATGTGATAGTTAATTGCGTGTCATTATGTGCACATGTATGGGAGCAGCATGCACAAGCACAATCAGACACCACCCCAGCCAGACCCGGTTTGCCATGCAGGCACACGGAAAGCACGACTTCTTTTCTTGCTCTCTTATCGAAGACTCTGCGCAATCTACGCTGTCTTAGGTTTCTTGTGTATCAGACGGCAGTGTGTTGGCCTGCCGAATGTGTCCATGCGCTTGTTCGACAATCAACTTCACTGTGCTAGCTAATCTCTGTCTATTGGGTTGTATGATGCATTCCGCTATATGACACTGCTCCTGCTGCGTGGTATATCACGATTGCGCGCTGCGTTTTCATGGGCTGAAAAGGTTCTTCAAGAGGCACATGTGGGTCACGCGTGTGAAGTGTCACATCGCTAAAATGCAGTCTGGACATGTCGTTGCACGCCAGAAACCAGAAGCGGTCGTCAGCCTCATACTGTAGCTTGAGGGGCACACCCGGTTTCCTTGTTTGTAATTAATTGGCTTGGAGCCAACCCAGGCACGCTGGAGATCCGAAGGATTCAATGCCTTTCGGTAGAGTATTTCTCTGAGGTCATGCTCCGAAACGTGCCACAGGAGTGGCGGCCTGAGGTTATGCACTATTCTGAGTCTTGGCAGCCGCAAGAGCTTCTTGTAGCTGTGCGCAAGTTGCAGGTATTCCCGCCGAAATGTGCTCGACCTGCTCGACAGGGCGGGATTCCATGGCAGGACCGCTCCAAGAATGGTCAACGCTGCAGCGAAGTCTGCTTGAGTCATCCACGTTCGTGTTGCTGTTTTCATGGCTGTGTTGAGCGTCAGGTATGACTTCGTGTACTTGCCCGTTGATTTTACTAGGGGACGTAGCTTGGGGCCTTTCGGCTGCATGTAAGTAGAACGTTTCGCTGTGATTGTCCTGTAGTCGTTTCAGTCTTGCACATCCAGGTATGCGCTGGTCGGACTCGTCAGCCATGAGGATGCCCGACAGCTACTCGAACAACTTCAGGTGCAGCTTTTGAAATTCAAGGCTGCAGCGATTCACGCGATTCCTGTTGGCAGGGATGCTCTTTTCCTGGATTAGATCCCAGCATGCGCTGTGAAGCGTCCTGGAGCCAGATCGGTTCTCAGCCTTCAAAAGCTGCAGCCTTGATGTCACTGACGATCCCAGCCGCTGCAAAGGCCTCATCGAGGTCTCTCTGGCCACATCGAGAGGTATAGAAACAGTGGCCTCTTCAGCTTTTGGTCCTCAAAGAATGGCACGACGTGTTGGCTAACCTGATCATCAGGTCCTGTCATGCATCCGAGCATGCCCGACGAGTACAAGGCAAGGCCCCAGAAAGCTGCAAAGCTGCATACGTTGGTTCGCTTCCACGCCTGTCGCACCTGCCCTGACAGCCTGTGATTTTTGTCAACGGCGAGCGCGTCGACTTCCCAGCCCCCACGAAGACAATCCGAGCTCCGCGCATTCGGCATCCCAAGACACAGCGCCGGCCGCCAGGCCTGGCAGAGCCGATTGTGCAGTTTGCAGGGAGCTGCCCTAGCCCAGAGCAGCTTCTGTTGATTTCCAAGCCGCGATTGTGCACCGGGCTCCAAAACCTGAAGTTACTGAGTGACACCATTAACTTGGATCAGCAATCGTGTCCTTGTGGAAAATTAATTCCGAAACGGGCTTTGTTTGTGCCGGATCCGGCGGCATCAATCCTGGGCCGCAACCGTGAGCCCTGGCAGCCCTGGTTTAATGCAGCTGCATCTCACGGGCACGGCAGGTGTGAAGCGGGCGAAATACACCGTGCTTTTTCTTTCGAGTCAGAGCATCTCCCTACATAAACCGCAAAGCTTACACTTTTCATCGCGGTCCTGGATCACGTGACATCTCGGAGAACGACTTCCCCACATTCCGTCAAACATACAAAGGAATAGGATGAGGAAAATGCAACCCGTGCCACGCGCCACAAAACGGATCGAACAACAAACGACAAGCATTCAGTAGAATCCCAACGAACAAATCGAGCAGTTTGAGATGCAAAGCTTACTATACAGTGCGCTGGTTTCAGGTGTCGTTTTGATGCGACGTATGTTTTTTTTAACGCTTTTTCGGTTGCTCCTGATTCTCTCTGCCGATTTTGCCGCTTTGTTTTGCAAGAGGCCAGGCCACAGGGGCACGCGGATCGCTTTTCAAGCTTTTGTGTTTAGAATCAGTTCGAAAGCATTGTAATTGATCATAAAGTTCATTGACTCATGAGGTATTCTGTGTGGGCCCCCGCTCTGGCGCTTGGGATAGGTGAATTGCGGCCAGTGTGGATTCCCTGGCTGCGTCCGCAGGACTTCAGGGTCCGACAGACGGTCTGTGACAAGATGAGTGGGTTTCGGCGATCGAAACCACGTGAGATCGTCGTGTGTACAGAACGGTGAGTGGGTGGAGCACTTGCATCAGAAGCTTCTCAAGATGAGACAGTTGGTGTCCTCGGTGCCACCATCCTTGAGAGCTACAGATGCAAGTGTGCGAGTCTCACCTATCACTGAGTACAGGAGCATACACCAGACATGTGCTGACGAGCCATCCTGCGCTTGGCAACGATACTCTTTCTCTAGGCCTGTGCAGCTTTGCTTCTGCATTGCTCCTCCAGCTGCAGGTTTTAAATCACGCGGACGATTGGACACTTGGTCCACATCCCACAGCACCCAGTCAAGCCACAAGCACAGTTTCAATAGGGTACGGTGTCAATGTATGTTCCCACACTTCTTCGGATGTTGTCTTCTCGTCAAAAACAAAGCCGATGGCACGCCCAAGAAAGCTCTGGTTTCCTTCTAGTTACGTTTCTCTGCATCGGTTTGGTTCAAGGAGATTTGCAACAGGTAAGGAAGGAAACCTCAGCCTGAAAAGAGCTTACGTTTGAGCAGAAGCTCCACTGCGCTGCGTCATCCGTCGGTACTTCAGAGGAAAAAAGCAGTAGTTGGCCTGTGAGAGATGTTTGAGTCTCCGCACAGTCACCGTTCGGGCCGCAGCTTAGCTATTTGCAGCACCAAGAGCACGGGCGCCAAGAACACAGGGTGTTATAGACTCTAAGAAGATCGCCACGATCTGCACTCCCACATACACTGTGTACAGTCTATGTACAGTACCTTGAGCTTTGGCGTAACAGGTCGGGACTAACTGGACTCATTTTAGACCTGGGCCGATGCAAAACATGAATGCAATATAGTGACATGGCATAGTTGCAGCAATGGTGCTGAACTTTGACTTCCTGCAGCTGCCTTAAGCGGAATGGCATAGCTGCCAGTCGGACTTGACGGTGGCTCGAAGCTACAAGGACCGGCTGGAGAAGATCCGATGCATCTCAGCAAATGTCCCTGAACCCTGCGTGAACCTCAGATGATGTGAATCGAGAGACTCCCCAGAATCTGCATGTCGATTCGTCGATGCAGGTTGCCTCGCAGGAGGAAGGCAAATCTGAAGGCGATGACGATGGACAAGGCCTGTTGTATTGTTCCCTGCATGCGTCCGCTCTGCATCAAGTCAGGTATCTTATTGAGACCACGCGGACCGTTTCCTGCAGATGCCGTTGGGATTGACGCCCGCGTGTTGCTGAGCAAAACGCGAGTCGCCGTGCCGGAATGTTATGCCTGCTGCTGAAGGTCAAGGCTTGTGGTGGCTGGTGCAGGAGCGTGGTGCTCCAGTGTGGTCTCACTTACATCCCCTTTTTCAGACTATTAATCTGATGCAGGATTCTGATTTGCTGTTCTTCCCCTTCCCAGGGGAGCATGGGGCTTAATTTGAAGTTTTCGTGTGACTGTGATAGCTGCTCTGATAGCTCTTGAGTGCTCTAAGCAGTTCTTGCGGCACCATGGTTTCCGGGTGGAGCAAGTAGCAGCTCAAGCTTCAGAAGTGTTGCAGTCCATCGCGCTTAGCGATAGCCTGTGCAGATTTGTGCTAGATTGCCACAAAATGCCATGGCAGCTGACCGTGAAATCCAAACACGGCTTTGGGGCAGTGCAGCCGGTGAGCAGCTTTTGGGGCACATCTTCGAGGCTTCGACCTCGAAGCTGCAGAGCACCGGCGAACGGCAGGGAGGCCGTTGTAAGGTCCATTTGGAAGCATGGGTCGATGAGGCGGTTGTGGACTCAATCAGGGATGATGATGAGACGGTTCGCAAGCATGTGGCAGCTGTAGCACCAAGCCCCGGCGAAACAACACGTAGCATCTTGAGCGAGCTACACGTAGGATTTTGGTTTCTCCGAGACTTGACTGATCTCGACTGTCAGCTTTCGGGTTCTAGTACCAGAGCTACGGTAGAGCGCAGGGTATCAGGCAATTCATAGCTCAGCTGTTGCTGCAAGGAAAGGAGGACCTCATCAAATTGCCTCAGCGGTGCCCGCCACACCAAACACTGAAGGAAAGGAAGCTTTTGGAGTGGCGCATCATACCCTTTCAAGAGATTGTGAGCGGCGAACTGAAGCGGTCCACAGCAGCGGTCACTCACGTTTGGCTCAGCAAAAAGCATTTCGATCCGGATGGACTCAAACTTGCCAGACTGAAGGAGGTCCTTGCATCCGAGGCCTGCCGTTGGATCGAGTACGTTTGGCTTGACTTCGCTTGTGTTCCTCAGCCCTGGAACGACGATGGGTGTTACGAGCAGCTTTCCAAAGAAGATGAAGTTCTTCAAAAGCAATCGGTGGAGCGTTGCCTTACTAGTCTGTATCTGGGAGCAACTGTCATAGCTCTTTGGGATGATGGCTTCAATGGCAAACTTTGGCCATCTGCAGAGCCTTTCGTTTCCTGCAAGACCCCAACACTCCTCGGGCTAACTCCCAGCTTGGCGGAGCATCATCGACTAATGCTTGCATGCATGCAAAGTCAGCAGGGCCAGGAAGCGAAGATCGAGGAGCAGGTCCTAAAGACATGGTCCACTATGTCTGCTGCCACAGCCAGCGACCTCTTCATACAAGAGAAATTCAAAGTGTGTGTTGCGAGAGACAGAACTGCAATCACACATGTCGTCGCAAACATTGAAGAAGAACTACGACAACTCTTCCGAGATCAACCTTGCTTGATCACTCCACGACAAGCCATTGCCGGCCTGAGCTTTGCCAAAGCGTTCTGCAAGCTTGAGTTTACGATTGACGTGAAGCACATCAACCGTTTCTTGAACCGCAAAACTGCCATCATGTTGGTTGCTGAACAAGGTCGGGACGACCTGTTGCGCTTAATACTGGCCGTACCCGATGTTGATGTCAATGCTCATGACACTTCGGTCGGATGCACCGCACTTCTTTTGGCTGCCCGAGAGGGGCAGGGAGCTGCTCTGCAGCTTCTCCTTGCCGATGCACGCACGGACGTGAATGCAAAAGCAGACAACGGGGACAGTGCACTGACTATAGCATTGTCCAACGACAGATTCCAGATCGTAGCGTTGCTTCTATCCCATGCTGGTCTTGATATCGATGCGAGATCACTGCGCATCGCGATTGAGAAGGAGCTTGACAAAGCCATCTTTGCCCAGATTCTGGCATGCCCTTCACTGGACCTCAACAAAGACCTGAGCAGTGCGAAGTGCAGTGCCGGTTTCAGGCCGCTACACCTTGCAGTGCAGCGTGGCAGCAGGAGGGTTGTGCAGCAGATTCTAGATGCTTCTTCCAGCGTGGACGTTAACGCTCAAGCAGCGGGAGGTTTCACGGCCCTGCACGTTGCGGTAGAACATGACAAGCTCGTGGCGGCAGAAGTTTTGCTGTCTTGGCCAGGCATAGACCTCAATGCTTGCACGACGGAGGGCTTCACCCCCTTGTCACTGGCTGCGATCAACGGTCGGGTGCAGTTCATTCGGATGTTTTTGATGAGGCCGGACCTGAGTTTGGGACTTCCTTCAGTGTTGGCACTGGCCCTCCAGACAGACTCCAGCGATTCTGAGGAGATCGCAGATTGCATTCTTGCTGCCAGGGCCGAAGATAGCAAAGACACTGTCATGAACTTCAGAGAGCTGGTCAAGAAGGTCAACAGTGTACGGGAAGAGCTTGTGGCAGGGATTGGCTTCCCTGGCAAGCTTTTACGGGCGGCCGTGCAGGAAGGGAATGTCGATCTTTTGCGATTGGTTCTTGCAACTCCCAGGTTGGACGTCAATTCGAAGGGTTTCTTTGATGAAGGCACCGCATTGCAATATGCAGCGGAGCGAGGGGGGCTTGAAATCTTGAAAGTCCTTCTGCAGGTATCAACTATCGATGTCAACGCAAACTCCAGTGGCTGGACGGCATTACATGCAGCAGCAGAACATGGTCACGAAGGTATCGTGCAAGCCCTGCTTGGAGCTCCCGGAATTGACACCAACATCCTCTCTGGATTCTACACGCCACTGGCTGTAGCTGAGCAGACACGTCAAGACCGAGTAGCCGCTTTGCTTCGACGTGGGGGAGGCAAGCGATGGTCCAAAACCTGGCTGCCATCTGGTACCTGATGGCCAAGACACGCACATCATATTGGCAAAGCTGAGTCGACATGATCATCCTCTCCCAGCAGGGTGCACGTGGACATGCGTGGCCACATAGTTCAAGGCAAGTCGAGAAACTCGCGGAAAAATACGGACCCTAAATGCATCAGTTTGTGGAGACAGAGGATGTGCTGACACTAATTTGCCCTCGCCTTAGCACATGCTAGTGTTGCAGCTACTTGATGAATGGTGCATATCGCATCGGACATAGGCATAATGGACCACGTGAACATGGTTCGCTTGAGCATTTCAAAAACTCAAAAACGGAAACATTAACAAACATCTGGAATTCAAAACGGCTTATGCTAGAGTGAGTAACTACGTTTTTGTCTTCGAAAGCATCGCGGCAGGTCTTCGTTTCGAATCTCATCATGGATATTCTTGCCGGCATCTGCACCGCCTTGGCGGCCGTCTCCGCCTGGTCTGGAGTGCAGCAGTCCAGCGGTGTCCAGTGGTATGGAGGATGATGGAGGATGTCGGACTGAAGGTTCCGCGTCTTCTGTGGTTTTGCTGGCGAGTCCTGTACTCGTCAGACGCGACTTGAGATGCGCTACTGGGCCACTGGGGTGATTTGTTGGGATGCTGGCATGTGGCCACATGTCGGCCTGGGCTTCAAAGGCGAACAGCACTCGGTGAAGAAAGCAGCGCATTTTGTCTTTGCCTTATTCCCCAAACAGGTACGGTTTGGGGTTCTCTCCTCAGAAAAAAGGTGGGCCGCGGTGGCTGGATGGGTGGGCCGCGGCGACGGGCCTGGGCTTTTATTGGGCTCCCTTCATGTTTCCTTTTTGGGCTCCTGGGTTGGATGGTTGGGCCGCAGCCACGGGCCTGGGCTCCCAGGGTTGGACGGCTGGGCCGCGGCCTGTTTGACGGCTGGGCCGCACAAGGGCCTGGGCTCGCATTGGGCTCCCTTCATGTTTCCTTTGTGGGCTCCTGGTTGGATGGCTGGGCCGCGGCAAAGGGCCTTTGGACTCCGTTCATGTTTCCTTTCTGGGCTCCTGGGTTGGACGGCTGGGCCGCACAAGGGCCTGGGCTCGCATTGGGTTCCCTTCATGTTTCCTTTCTGGGCTCCTGGTTGGGCGGCAAAGGGCCTTTGGACTCCGTTCATGTTTCCTTTCTGGGCTCCTGGGTTGGAAGGCTGGGCCGCACAAGGGCCTGGGCTCGCACTGGGTTCCCTTCATGTTTCCTTTTTTGGCTCCTGGTTGGATGGCTGGGCCGCGGCAAAAGGCCTTTGACTCCGTTCATGTTTCCTTTCTGGGCTCCTGGGTTGGACGGCTGGGCCGCACAAGGGCCTGGGCTCGCATTGGGCTCCCTTCATGTTTCCATTTTGGGCTCCTGGGTTGGACGGCTGCCATCAAATTTTCTTCTGGGTTGGATGGCTGGAAGGGCCTGGGCTCCCACTAAGCTCCCTTCATGTTTCCTTTCTGGGCTCCTGGGTTGGACGGTTGGGCCGCATGAGTGGCCCCCACAAACAAAACCTTTTGGTCACGGCATTCTTTTTTCCAAAAAAAGAACGCGTCTTTCTCGTGCGGATGTCATCACTCCAACACGTTCCAGCTTGAACCTGCAAGACGGAGCATACTCGGTGCAACTATGAGTGCCCACCACAAACAAAACTTTTTGGTCACGGCGTTCTTTTCCAAAAAAAGAACGCTTCCTTCTCGTGCGGATGTCATCTCTACCCATTCTTCTTGTGCACAAAAACAGTCCATATGCCTAAACATTTGTTTCGCAGCGTCTGCTTGCGAAGCCAGATAGGGTTTCAACACGTTCCAACTTGAACCTGCAAGAAGGAGCATACTTGGTGCAACTATGAGTGCCCACCACAAGCAAAGCCTTGTGGTCACGGCGTTCTTTTCCCGAAAAAGAACGCTTCCTTCTCGTGTGGATGTCATCAATACCCGTTCTTCTTTTGCACAAAAATAGTCCATATGTCTACGCATTTTTTCGCAGCATCTGCTTGTGAAGCCAGATTGGGTTCCAACACGTTCCAACTTGAACCTGCATGATTCGATGCATTCTGTTTGGGGTCTACGCTGGTGTAATTTAGGGTGTAATAGCCATAGCCTACGCTCTGAGTCTTTCGCAGGCAGGCAAGTCTTCATGGCTTCTCGTGCAACTGGGAAAGTGGAGCCTTCTCTTCTGTTTTCTTCTTCTCGCATGACTTGACTTGAAATTGTGTCGGTTTACTACGGCTACATTACATATGTCAACAACATGTGGGCCTGGGCTCGCACTGGGTTCCCTTCATGTTTCCTTTTTTGGCTCCTGGTTGGATGGCTGGGCCGCGGCAAAAGGCCTTTGACTCCGTTCATGTTTCCTTTCTGGGCTCCTGGGTTGGACGGCTGGGCCGCACAAGGGCCTGGGCTCGCATTGGGCTCCCTTCATGTTTCCATTTTGGGCTCCTGGGTTGGACGGCTGCCATCAAATTTTCTTCTGGGTTGGATGGCTGGAAGGGCCTGGGCTCCCACTAAGCTCCCTTCATGTTTCCTTTCTGGGCTCCTGGGTTGGACGGTTGGGCCGCATGAGTGGCCCCCACAAACAAAACCTTTTGGTCACGGCATTCTTTTTTCCAAAAAAAGAACGCGTCTTTCTCGTGCGGATGTCATCACTCCAACACGTTCCAGCTTGAACCTGCAAGACGGAGCATACTCGGTGCAACTATGAGTGCCCACCACAAACAAAACTTTTTGGTCACGGCGTTCTTTTCCAAAAAAAGAACGCTTCCTTCTCGTGCGGATGTCATCTCTACCCATTCTTCTTGTGCACAAAAACAGTCCATATGCCTAAACATTTGTTTCGCAGCGTCTGCTTGCGAAGCCAGATAGGGTTTCAACACGTTCCAACTTGAACCTGCAAGAAGGAGCATACTTGGTGCAACTATGAGTGCCCACCACAAGCAAAGCCTTGTGGTCACGGCGTTCTTTTCCCGAAAAAGAACGCTTCCTTCTCGCGTGGATGTCATCAATACCCGTTCTTCTTTTGCACAAAAATAGTCCATATGTCTACGCATTTTTTCGCAGCATCTGCTTGTGAAGCCAGATTGGGTTCCAACACGTTCCAACTTGAACCTGCATGATTCGATGCATTCTGTTTGGGGTCTACGCTGGTGTAATTTAGGGTGTAATAGCCATAGCCTACGCTCCGAGTCTTTCGCAGGCAGGCAAGTCTTCATGGCTTCTCGTGCAACTGGGAAAGTGGAGCCTTCTCTTCTGTTTTCTTCTTCTCGCATGACTTGACAGGACTTGACTTGAAATTGTGTCGGTTTACTACGGCTACATTACATATGTCAACAACATGTGCGTGTGTGAGGGAGGGAGAATCTGTGGCAAGAGTGACCCTGGAACCATCACGCTGGGACACCGAAAGTTCCGAACATGCACAAGATCACTGAGGCAATCGTCTCCGCTTGGTGCTTACGCGGCGTTCTCAGACCATCAGAAAACCGAGCTGATCAGCCTGTACACTGCAAGTTCAGGCATTGCCGGATGCTAAGCTGCGAGCCGCCTGCGTGGCCCCCCTTACAGGGGCGGTATACAAGGCGAGCAGATTCATTCTCAGTCTTTGCGAACTGCTAGTTGTGTGTAGCTGCTAGCTGTTATCTGCCCTGCCAGGGTACTGTGTGTTGTTGCTTGGGGGCCCTAGCAGGGTTGCTTCGGCTAGGAGCTTGGAGGAGACGGGGTCTAGGAAGGGCGAAGGGAGCCATCAAACGCACGTGGGCGGTTGCCACCCAAAGTCCAAATCCGGGCCCGGGCCGAGGAAGGACGGGGGAAGGCTGCAGATTGCAGAAGGAAGAGGTTAAGCATGGGAGGGAGGATTTTGCAGGTTGGCTTTTCAACCACTGCTCTCAGGGCTCTTCCTCCACTCGCAAGCCAACATTGGCCGTTGTGTGCAGGGGCCCTAGACCCCTCGACACATCCCAGTGGATTGGGCTTCGGAACTGTCATGCGGCCGTGCTCAGTTTCGGATTGGCGGATCTCCATCTTTCCGAACGGACCTCGTGTGGATCTGCCCGGTGCTTGGCAGAAAGGTCGTCACGTGTCATTGGGGAGGTGTCGGAATTGCAAAAGCACGGCAGTAGCCATCGCAGGGCGAGACCGCCTGGAATTCCTGCTGAGGAGGTGCTCCTATGCGTCCCGATGGATTGCTGTCCGCATCGCCAGGAGATAAGTTGCCAGGTCCCAGCTTTCGTTCGCTCCGCGGCCCCACATCCTGGTCACGGATGTGTTGGTGTCGTCCTAGTCGCGCAGCACTCACTTTTGTGCAACTCTCATCGAGAATGTTCCAGAGAAGTCATATCCTGGATCAAGGTTGGAACCCAGACCGGGCTTTTGTTCTCCTTCTTCCTCTCACAGGAAGCTGGCACCTTCAAGGCCCGTCGGGCGGCCCGGCTGAAGTGCCACGAAATCAGACGGCAGACTGAGGCTGAAGCTGGCAAGTTGTGGCCAACAGTGTCGGAACACTGCCTCTACAACTTCTTCAAGAGAGTTAGAAGGAGAGCCTTGCTGGAGTTTCTGCCATTTTCATATTTGCCGCGAATGTTCGGAGGTTCAGGACTGGTGCGGACGTGTCTCAGGATCGGCATTTGCAGGAGGCCGGGGTGGCCAGTCCAGAAGTTTCGAACAGCTGGTCTGCTCTTCAGCCACTCTCTCAGCGCAAATCTGCTGAGGAGACGCCGTTCTTGGCTCAGAAGGTTGAAACCGTCTCGGCAATGCCCTCAGCCCTGGCCAAGTTTGGCGAGCTCCTGGCGTGGTGTAGCGCCCAGTGACTCTACGCAGGCAAGCTCCTCGAGCAGCCTTTTTGCCACTCTCGCCTGGAATCAGGACTTTCCTGCCTCTCCTGCTGAGGGTGTTGACGCAGCGCACAGAGAGTGTGCCTTGCAGGAGCAGCTGGCATACTACACACACCCGCGTCCCCTGACTGTCCAGTAAGCATTTTGCAGGCAAGGTTTGGGCTAGGCATGCGGTATGCGTGCATGTCAAGGTTGGGTGGGTGCTGCAGACCTGGCTTGGACAGTCTCCCTCGCCCAGCTCGTGCGCTGCCCAATGATCGTGGGCAAACTTCCCTTTTTGCTGCGCCGAGCTTTCTGCGCAGGTTGCCGGAGACCCGTCCACAAAGCTGCTCTCAGTCTGTCGATGCCATACTCCATTGCTGGCGAAGCACTGCCGGCAACCACCAAACATACATGACTCACCTGACCCAGAGGCCACGGTGGAAAGAACGATGCTTGCGATGACTCGATCTTGGTTCTCTACAGGGGCAAGGAGACTTGCAATCGTAGCCTCTCTGACCTTCGGCTTGAAAATCCGGAAGAGGACACAGCAGGAAGTGAGGCATCGCTGCTCGCCAGCCGCGGCCTGCGAATCTTACCTTTTGCACAGCTTAACACGGGTAGTTGCAAAGGACTCGCCTGGCCTGCTCGCACGTCTCCGGTGCAGTCTTCATGCCAACATGCCGTGCCTCAAGATACCACTTTCGCCTTTATTGGTAAATTCCAGCTACGAAGTTCTCTGCCTCGACTGAGGGAGAAGTAGTGGGACCACCTTCGCCTGTGAACGGACTGTGCTGTCGCAGTTGATGCATTGCTGAGAGCTCTTAAAGTGGTACCTGGTAGCTTCACTCCAGGACCAGCTTTCGTGGTTGCCTTTGGCGACATCGTAGTGAGTGCCATCAAGGCCGCTTCCGTCAGAGGCAATTTGCGCAGCGACACACCCCTCTGTCATGCAACAGTTTGTAGCAGGTTGAAGGAGGGGACCGCTTTGCCATCTGCATGACTGGCATGGCTGCGCAGCGTTTGCAGGCAGGTGTAAGCACCTCAGATTCTTCATGCCGAGAAGAGACTTCTGCGACCGGGCAGTGGGCCATTCGCGGCCAAAGCGCATTGATGGCCAAGGTAAGTCAGATCGTGGACTACGGTATTCTAGGAACTTGGCGAAGTATAGTTCTGAAAGTTTGCAACTGCGTCCACGGTGTGCAACGTTCTTTGTGGCTTTCCGGCCTGCACGCCTGCCAGGACTCTCACTGCTTCCAGAGGGCATCAGCAGCGGTCATGTGCAGGTCCTTTTTACTTGTGCTTGGGCCCGTTAATGCGGACCCGTGTGGTTGATGGCAAGATAAGTGCTGTATCGTTTCAAACTATATAAGCCTCTCGCAGGTGCTGACACCTCATGGATTGTTGAGTTGCCCACAGGACGGACCCTCTCCTCCGGGGGAATACCATGTGACGTGGGATGTCAGCATGAATCTGTGCTCGTGCGCGGAGGACATGGCCTCCATTGGCAAGGCGCCTGCAACACTTCCTGAGTGTATGACAGCAAACGGGGTCGGTGGTCTGATGGAAGGAAACTGATGGACAATTACCTTCCACGGCTGATGCTTTCATTCAGATGGCTTACGATCTCTTCGATGCTGGACAGGAGGCACCAGAGCATCTGCTTGCATTTCAAGAAGCCCCTGGTCCCGTATCCGTGGTTTTGATGTGCAGGAGCAGGCAGTATCTATTTCCGTGAGAGCATTTTCGCAAGTTGGAGCTCAACCAATGCTTCTTGCGGCGCCTTGGAAGCATGTTATACTCGCACACTGACTTCAAAAAGATGCAGCTTCAAGGCAGGGAGCTCTTTGCAAAGCATCTTCGAGTGTTCCCGGGCACAAGGTTGAACAGCGAACCCGGAAACTCCTGGATGCCGATACCAGCCCGAAGCGGACAGCGAGCCTGTCCCTCATGTGATCAGAGGAAATCCCTGGACCGTGTAACCAAACATAAGAAAGCTAAGGTGAACCTCTTGACATCAGACAAATGCTCATCACCAAAGCACGCAGTCTGGAGCACTGGCTGCAGTTCCTCCAGAAGGTACACCGCTGACTTTGTTCTTTGCCACTGCTGTCCTGTGGCCACTGGCAGGTCGGGATCTGGATCCGAATGGGAAGTGCCCCCAATATCACCTCAGCCCAGCAGAATGTCGTGGAGGCAGGCAAGCTCGACGCCTGTGAGCCACTGAACTGCTGCTTTCCGGGTAGAGTACCCAGGCCTGCGAGCGAGCAGCTGCTGCGATGAGATTGGTCGAGTACCATGACACAGCAGCCGATGTCTTCGCAGCTCGTCAGTTCAGATTGAAACTAGATTTGTAAACCGGCTGTATCCGCCCCCCCTAGCGGACACATGCCCGCGGATCTCTCACGGGGCAGGTTTCCATGTGGATGCATTACAGGGCGACATCCAGCATGCTTCTGCATGTGTGTTTCCTTTCTCGGCGAAGCGTTGAAGCTGGCAAGTTTGGCGTTGTCCTTGTGTTCCCTGAACAACCCGCGCGTGGTTTGATAATTTGCACTTCCGGGGCTGACTTTGCAATTGTCGGAGAAGAAAAATCATCTTGCGTAGATTAAGTAGCATAAGTAACAATCGCTGCTAGAGAGATGCCCTTGAACATACCGATGCAAAGGGCAGAGTGGAAAGTGGCATCACTTGTGCGCTCGTTTGGCGTCGCTTGTTTCTTATCTGGTAGTAACAGTCTCGGACGAGAGGGCCCGGGCGGGACCTGAAAAACGGGCCCTCGACCCTCTGACTTCAACGTCTCCAATGTGCTGACGAGTGAACTGATTCCGGGATGGTTCATGGAGTCTGGCAACCGCATGTCTGTGAAACCGACTCCTCAGACTTGCCTCTGGAAGCTCACGAAGAATCCTGTACTACTATGTCTATCTATGCCTTCGAGGTCTCCTGCTGGATCCAGGTGAATATGTAGTCTTTGTTCGTGTTTCCAAAGAAGAACGAAGTCAGGAAAGGAGGGTGACAGGAAGAGCAGGATTGATAGGATACAGAAACGAAAGAATACACCACAGATAGACAGGCAATGCCTAAGACCCAGCAACTGCAATGCCGAAAACTGGAAATTCGACGCCGAAGCAGCTTGCCCGAAGCTCCTAAGCCCAAAGCAGAAATCCAGAACCCACAGTTTGAACTTAGATGAACCCGAAATGCTCTGGATTTATAATAACAGTAAGAATAATGATAATAACAATGGTGATAGAAATTTCAATAGACATGACATCCAGACTGGTGTCGGTAGTAGTTGGACTGAGAAACCGGAGGGGCCGGCCAGGTCTTTTGCGAGACTGTCGATTTCCTTCTTTAGCATGGTTCTTTTGCCTATTTGCTCTTCCTATCCATGGGTCATTCTAGGAATGGTCATTGTCTATCATTACGGAAGTTGCGGATTTTCAAACCTGGCAACTCGCGAGTCGGTGTGTCGGAGCAAAGCTTTGCTTCCAGGTGCCGAGACACACCTACTTGCATGCGTCCCCGCAATGAGCAGCTTAGTCGGTTTTGGTTGTGTGGTTTGGGTTTGTTGGACTAGTCTTTGTGTTTCCTTTCTTGGGGATGTTTAGGTGGTTCGTAGTTTCCTGGTTGGTTAGCTGCCCATCGCATTTTGCTTCGCGGGCCGTGGACTCCCTTTTCCGGGCTTTGTTATGGGGTCGTGCCGAAATTGCAATTCCAACGCCGAAGCAGCAACGCCATTTCCCGAGGGCCTGAGCTGTGAAAAGCCGAGCAACTGAAGGAGTGAAACTGACACCCAGCCCAAAACCAGAAACCAAAATCTGAACCGGATCCCAAACCTTAAACCGGAAGCTGAAAACCGCAGGAGGGAACCCAATCTAGGCAAGGCCGACACTGTAAACCCGACGCTTCGCCCGAAGCCACTGGGGCCAAACTGGAAGCCCAGAGCCCCACATGGCCGAACACCCACACCCTACTCTAGGGACTCTAGGGAGTGATGGCTGAACCAAACCAGACCCTAAACAGACGAGAACTCTAAGGTTAGCCCAAACCGGAAAGGCGGGAAAGATAGTAGGGCTTTCGTTCGAGACTGCAGCATCGACGCAAGCAGAACAACACAAGCGACACCCAAAAGAAGTCAAAAAAAAGCTCTGGGCTGCCGGGCTGCATCTTTACACTGCTCACCGAAAGCTCTCGTTGCGATTGTTGATCAGAGCTGCTGGTGCACGTCTTGATTGAACTGTTCTTCTGTCTTGGGATGTGAGGCACACGCAGCACACCCGCATCTGCATGTGCCTCTCTCTCAATCTATCTGTCTCTCTCTTTTTCCCTGTCCCTGTCTCTCTCTGTCTCGCTCCCTTTCGCTCTCTCTGGCTTTCTGTCTATGTATATGTATGTGTGCGAGGTGTCTGTTCTGGGTCGAGCCTTCGCACGCCGGACGGGCAGTCCAATATGCAACCCGTTGTCACTAAAGAAACATTGTTGGGTTTGCGGTTGAAGCAAATGTTGGTTCGGATCGCTTGGCATAGCCGCTTCTTGCCCTTTCCTATCAGGTTGCTAAGCATGCGGGATCTGGGTGTTCATGTCTGTGAGCCAAACGATGGAACGGTCGAAGTGTCAGCAGAGTCGCGGAGCAGGCGTCGTTGAACAAATGTGCATGACAGCACATGTGAGCATAGCTGATCTTGCGTTTTTCTTCGTGTACAGCCTGTCGGTTCTGAACGGTCCTGAAACTGCCAGGCTGTCTGTCTTTGTCTCTCCGCGTCTCTGTCTCCCTGTACGGTTAATAATTCCATGCTTCGAAGATCGCAGCCGGCTGCTCCAGCAACAGTCACTCCCCATAATTTGACTGCTGTCTATGTCTATGTCTCTGTCTCTGTCTCTCTCTCTCTCTCTCTCTCTCTCTCTCTCTCTCTCTCTCTCTCTCTCACTCTCTCTCTGTGCGTGCCTGCGCGCCCGTGTGTATGCCTGCGTGTGTCCAGTCGATCTGCCTTCCCGAATAGGGTAAAAGTGTGAGGGGGGTAGTACGTCGCAGAAGCGGTAGCGAGGTGCCAAGGCCTTTCAGTCGTTCTTTCAGTCGCAGCCGAGATTTAGCAATACTCTGTGGCCTTGACGGATCGCTTGTCCCTCCGCACTTCTTATCAATTCATGTTTGCTCTTCCACCTAGGCGAGTGCAATACACAACGCTCTCGACCAAGGCAAGGCGGCAGTCACATACGCACTGGGCGTTACAGGCCGTGCGCTTCGATCAGGTGCGGTCCAGGAAGCAGAAGATGAAAAGCGCTCGTTCTTCAACTGTCGCGACCTCGTCTATTGTAGATACTGCAAGTTTTCACACTTGTACAGGGCTATGTAGCGGCTATGAACTCTCCTAGATTCCGCGAAAACTGAAGGCTTGAGCAGCTGTGAGCGGCTGCTGGGCAGCTTGGCCGAGTATCCCCGCACTTTGCCGTTTGGTGCGGGGCTCAGCATGGGAAGAGGTGTGGGTGTTGTCAAATTCGACTTCAATTGGAGGGCGGAACAGGGCACTTCATGCAGACAGAATGCTTCGAACTGTTCTCAATGAGATGGTTCGAGTAGTCGCAGGCTGGCAGAGCTTGAAATCAGACGAAGTCTAAGATACCGTTACGGCGAAAACCGAGCGGCACCAAGGGAGCCTTTCGATGCAAACTCCGCTTTGCTTGACCTGTCTGGAGAAGGGGGGAGACCAAAATATGCTGAAATCGCGGGCTTTCCCGAGCCATCTCCCATGCTGGGCTGAGAAAGTGAGGGCCCGTGATGCTCGTGATGCTGCTTGTCTGGTGTAGGACTTGATGCGTGCGTTTGTTGCTGCTGTTCGAAGCTCGATCCTTGTCATGTCGGCAGTCTCTGTTGAATGAATCACGATAGGGAGAGAAAAAGAGAGATCAAGCACGGTACCACTCCCCTCCACAGCCAAATAACAATGACGTGGTCATGTGGCCAGGGGGCCTTACCAGCCCCTGATTATTGCCCTGATGAAGAAAAGATAGAGTGGGAGATAGAGACGATGTCGAACCTCAGCTGAAACGGCCGGTCTTGAACAACTGCACCATCGACCCCCCACTCTCAGTAACAGCTGAGCTGCATGGAGCATTCCATTCACACGCCAATAGTGCGGTGCCTTTTGTAAGCCTTTGAGTGCAGTCACTTCCATCTGCCTGCTCTGGAGGTTCGGGTGGTGCCTGGGATGCCGTGATCTTCGTGCAAACCGTTGTCTCTGCATTCCTGGATGCAGCCTTAGCAACACCGGCATGTTTTTGATAGATTGGTGCTCACACGGGCGCGAAAGCGATCCAGTAGGGGCACGAAGCGGGGTACGGGCAAAGGGGTGCTGGTGAATTCATGCCTGCGTGATTGCGTGGGCATGCATGCGTGCTTGCGTGCCCGCGTGCGTGTGCGTCTGCGTGTGTGTGTGTGCGTGTGCGTGTGTGTGTGTGGGTGTGTGTGTGTGTGGGTGGGTGTGCGTGTGTGGGTGTGGGTGTGTGTGTGTGTGGGTGGGTGTGGGTGTGGGTGTGGGTGTGGGTGTGGGTGTGGGTGTGGGTGTGGGTGTGGGTGTGGGTGTGGGTGTGTGGGTGTGTGGGTGTGGGTGTGGGTGTGTGGGTGTGGGTGTGGGTGTGGGTGTGGGTGTGGGTGTGGGTGTGGGTGTGGGTGTGGGTGTGGGTGTGGGTGTGGGTGTGTGGTGTGGGTGTGGGTGTGGGTGTGGTGGGTGGGTGCGTGGGTGCGTGGGTGCGTGGGTGCGTGTGTGCGTGGGTGCGTGGGTGCGTGGGTGCGTGGGTGCGTGTGTGCGTGTGTGCGTGTGTGCGTGTGTGCGTGTGTGCGTGTTTGCGTGTGTGCGTGTGTGCGTGTTTGCGTGTGTGCGTGTGTGCTCGTGTGTGCTCGTGTGTGCTCGTGTGTGCTCGTGTGTGCTCGTGTGTGCTCGTGTGTGCTCGTGTGTGCTCGTGTGTGCTCGTGTGTGCTCGTGTGTGCGTGTGTGCGTGTGTGTGTGTGTGTGTGTGTGTGTGCGTGTCTGTGTGTGTGTGCGCGTGTGCACGTGTGTGCGTGTGTGTTTGTGTGCGTGTGTGGGTGTGTGCGTGTGTGCGTGTGTGCGCGTGCGTGTGCGTGTGCGCGTGCGCGTTCGTGTGCGTGTGCGTGTGCATGTGTGCGTGTGTGCGTGTGTGCTTGTGTGCGTGTGTGCAAGTGTGTGCAAGTGTGTGCAAGTGTGTGTGTGTGTGTGTGTGTGTGTGTGTTTGTGTGTGTGTGTGTGTGCGCGTGTGCGCGTGTGCGTTTGTGTGCGCGCGTGTGTGTGTGTGTGTGTGTGTGTGTGTGTTTTGGTCGTTTCGGGTGTTTATGTGGGCGGGGGTTGGTCAAGTCTGAGTGCAAACTGTGGTGTCTTTCACAGTGATACTCCTGGTTAGTGATGCCCCTATGCCAGGAGAAGAGATCGCAAATCTTGGCTTCATATCCCATGGCCCTGATGCGAGCTCAGAGCTGTCATCGTTTACGGTAGGACCTCGGCAATGCTATGCGCTTCTTGGCGCGTCAGATCTTCCTGTCAAGGCCAGTTCCGGAGCCTCAAATGTCGCAAAGGCGATTGTCTCGTTTTTCTCTTATGCTTTCCGCACAGCAGCTGACTCTGCACTGGGGCGAGGTACTTCGGGTCCAGGAAGTGCTCTCGAGTTCCAGCCTGGTCAGGAGTTGGAAGTGGCCGCAGCCCTGGAAGGATTTGGATTTAGATTGAAGTAGATGTAACTGCAGTCAAGTCTTTCTCAAGGTTGGCTGATGGGGCTTTCAGTTCAAAGAGCTCTGGAAGATCTTCGAGTGGTGAGTGCCGGCCTCAAGCAAGAATCGGTTTCCTGTTTGACGACAAGGTGTGACTTCTTTGTCCTGGCGAGGTTTGGAAGTGCTTCCGACAGTTCCGCGACGGCACCTCCCACTTCTTGATGCACAGGTGTCGGACTTGCTGGAAGCTTCACATTTAGCATTGTGAACATAATCGCGGTCACCCGCGATTACAAGTACTGTACATGCTGAAGGCCATTCGGGTGGTGCAAGGGCTTCAACAACTATGTCGCGGGATACTACTAGCTGCGTATGCTCGGTGCCTACTTGGCCTAGTAGCAACGGCAGGCCGTTGCAGATTGAATTAGCAGATGCACAACACGATCCTGCAAGCAGAGGCGAGCTTCTCTGACCTGCACTGTGCAGCGATGGTGGCGGCCTGAACGAACTTGCCCGAAGTCCAAGATATATTGAGACTTGAGGCGAAAATTAGGAAAGAAGTCCTGAGCCATTTGGCTGACGCAGAGGCGCATCGACAGGGGCAAGCATCTCTTACAAAGGTAACATCTCGAGCCATCCAATTGCCAGGCTTGCTTGGTGGAAAAGGCTACAGTTTCTGGCCAACAACTCCGAACGCTTCAATTTGCTGAAGAGCCCAGCCCCCGGTTGACTTTCACCATGTGGTAGCAGCAAAATTTGTAGAGCAACCCATCGGGTGTTGACCCTTAATCTCTGCAAGGTTCGAGGATCTCGAGGCCGATCCCTGATGCTCGCTGCATCTCGCTGCTGTTGTGCTCACAAATTCGTAGCTCTGGCTTGCAGCTCTTCATCAAGCTGGCGGCCAATGCAGATGTCAAGCGCGGCTTGCCCGACAAGCTGACACTTCGAGTACTTCCTATGTGGCACAGATGTGTTCGAAGATACGGCAGTTACAGTTCCTGCAATCGCACAGAGTGTGGTGGAAAAATACCTGTAAGGTCTGGATGAGCAGATGGTGGCGTCAGAGAAGTTCAGGCCGCATGCGTTCGCCTATTGCCCGAGGCTTACGGATTTCTGCGACTCCTCTGCGATAAGTTTACGCTATTCGAGGTCTGCAGCAGCCGCGCCTGCATCCTCTGTTCTTTCGACTGCTGCGCCTCTTCCCACCATCAAGCGAAGCACTGGAGGCGGAAAAGAAATCCACAGCGGGGCATCGTGAGCTGGCGTGAGATGGCGCGTATCACCGGAAGGAGCTGCTCTCTCCGTACCCGGAGCTACGATGGACTCTTGAGTTGAGCGGACTTGCAGAGGCCGAACTACTTTTCGCTCTTGCCGCCTATGCCCACCTCAGACCTCCGAAAGGCATCGAAGAGCCGCTGGCCTGTGGCGGCTCATTCGGCCGGTGGCTTTGAACCCGCGTCTGCCTTCGCGAAAGTGTCGTCGTTCTGCCGCTGTCGCGACTTCAGGTGAAGCAGATGGCCGCAAAAGCTGCTGCGAACGAGAGGACTGACGACATTTCCCACGCCTTGGACCTCCTTCACCTCAGAACGCCAGGCTAGATGCGACCAGACGCAAAGTGATGGCAGTCCCGGCCTTCAACAAGTTTGAAGGGACCCTCTGCGTCTTCGGCTAGTTCTGCGCCTTTGTTCTCCGAGGCTGTGGCTTCCATAGCGACTGCTGCCACGCAGATGCAGGTCCAGGCACAGCCGGAAGCGTTGCATCTCTTGTGGTGAAGATGCAAGTTCCCGGTACAAGACTTGAGCGAGGAGGCGCCGGCCGCCCTAGCCACCTTGAGACACAATGCTCTGGCGCAGACCTGCAGTTGAAGCATGCAAAAAGAAATGTGCCCCGACGTTGCTTGGAGCACTTCGTTTTGCATGTAAGTGCCCCGAGGATGCTCACCGCTCTGAGGCTACTCTCTGACTGTCTGTGTCGTGCCGAAATCTGGTACAGCATGCCTGGGATGCGCACGGTCGGAAGCCCTTTGGCTCAAATTGACACGGAACTCCGTGCGAGTGCAGCGAGTGCAGCGAGTGCAGGCTGGGGGTCTCACTCTCTTGAGAGGGGCCCGCCGGACCTCTGTATTCGCTAGCACGGACTGCCCAGGCAGCATCGACATGGCCGAGGTTTCCAACTCCCTAAAAGTCCGGTTCGCGCAGGCCAGGGACCAATTGGTGCTAAGAGGATTTGTTTGCCTTTAGTTTTGCAGCCGGCCTCGACATTGCTGGCCATCATGATGTGTCCACTAGGTGAGCCGTCATTCCGACCCTGTCTCAGTGCACCAGGCCTTCGAGGAGTGACACATCGTGCTATTCTTGACATGGAGCCTCGCGAAGCATTCTGTCACAGGAGTTGGCTCCATTTGGTGAGATCACACGGCTAGAGTTGCTGATCCGCTCTTAGAAATCATTCGGCATCACTGGGTTGTCGAAAGAGAATGATCACCAGGCCGGAGGAGCCCGACAGCGTGGCCGCTCCTTCATGAATTTCTGTGCTGTTGGCTTTGCACAAGGCTCTTCTCGACAGAATGTGTGCTCCAGGTCGTCAGCTACTACGACAGTCAAAGCGCCCTTCGCGCTGCTCTACATCTTGGTGATGCCCGCTGCTACATGGTGCGCCTGTTGTCATCTGCTCGCAACAGTGACAACTCTTCCATCGGCTTGGTACTGCGTGCAGCGTAGCAGAGGTGTTGCACTGTGTCAAGTTGTTTGCCGGTCACCATCGTAGCTTAACACTGGACAACAAAGTGACGAGAAGTATCATCGCAGCAGAGCCCTGGTCCCACATCGCACGAGCCAGCAGGTCCAGCCTTTGTGTGCGTGCACGCATTGCTGTGTTAATGGCAAAAAGCCCGCGATCCAGCCGACAATGGTTCGGATGCTGCCGGAAGCGAGAGGAAGATATTGGTACTTCCTCTGAATATTCGTAGTCTTCGAACTGCAACGATACAATACCCGATTCCGGCCAGAGTGAGCACGGCTCACTATTCCGACCGTCCACAAAAAGCAGCCGGCAGGGTGCCAACAAAGTTCAGTATGGACTATGCCGGGCCCAACTTCAACCAGCTCGAAACTCCAGAGGACAAGTCTGACAGGAATCTCGGTTTGCCGTAAGGTCTTTGTCGCGGCATGCATGAATTGCTCTCCCGAGCCGCAAGACCCGGCTGCACGAGAAGCTTGTTGCCTTGTCAGTGTGGGGAGACGCGTATTCAGCCGTGCGGGAGAGGAACCAGCTGCCTTCGGCTGGAGTTTTGCCATGCGCAGACTTGCAGCTCCACCTGGCACTTGGCGAACAGAGAGCTACTCGTACATTCCAGGTGTTGCGCGGAATCCTTGTGATCCGGTTCCGAGACGTCGCTCCGTCTGTGTTTTGCTTGAATCACTGCGGCGGACAAGTCCCACGCATGACGGTTATTCTTGACAAACGGAAGCTTTCAGCATGCTGTACTCGGACCCTGTCTTGGGTGATGGGGCGTCCGGTGGTCGTGTATGATGCGGACCTGCGGATGCTTGCTTACTGCTGTAACTCGGCGCAACCCGAATTTGCTAGCTGTCGTTGCTTTCGTCCCGACAATCACAGCGCCAGCTAGAAAGAACGGCCAAAGTGGCGGCAAGAACAAGGTGCGTAAGGGTGTGCAAAGCGCGTCAAGCACAAGCATTATTCCGAATTCCCAAAGCCCATGGCGATGTCGTGGGCTTCTACGAGATATAGCCGTAGCATCGTGGAAAACGCGCTGGTCGACAAAGGGGTCTCCTCTTCGCCTTCTGCCAGTGCATTGTTGGTGGCCAGTATAATCGTTGCAGTATGCAGCGTGGCAGGCATCGACTGTTTCTTTACGTAATAATCCCGCATTGAGCACGTGTCCGAGCACAGCTGTAAACTGAAGCATGGAGCACGTGGCATGCTGTTGAGTCTGCGTTTTCGGGCAGGAGCAGCTGCAACGCGAGCAGTGCTATGTCCATCTTCCAAAGGAGGCTCGGCCTATGAAAGGTTTGATAAGCATGTCCATTCAAGGTTGTTTCGATTGTAAAAGGTCCATGACAGAATGCACATACCAACCACAGAACCACGCCGCGTGTTGAACAGCTATTTGTATTTGTCACCTAGGAAATATTCCTCGAACAAGCAAGTCGAAGCGGACTGCACAATCCCCGGGTCCCCGAGATGATTACGATTCAGAAATCGCATGCACACCGTTCTCTCGTGAAGAAGTAACGCAGGCGTGGGCTTTTGGGACCGATAGCAATTATAGCCCTTATTTGGTAGGACCTACTGAGTACCTACTGCCACCAAATGCCGCTTTATCGTGACAAGCCGGGACTTGACATATTAATAACAACCGGGCGCATGGCAGTGGAAGCTGAACAAGACAGGCATAGACTTTCCAGAGCATCTGTCTCCTATCGAGAAGCCGCGGTTCTCCAGATATTCCCGCCAGGCATCTGGATGCTGCGTCGAGGAGATCAGCAACTTGTGTGAAGCTTACTGTGCAGCACAGTCGAAGCAACAACCGGCTGGGCAAATCGTACGAGGTATGCCCAGTGCTGCGATGGTCGGACGGCAGCAAACGTAGCACAGCAGGCGCGCCGACAAGCCGTTTTGACCAGACGGGATTGTCCACTGGCTTTGACGATCAATTGTGCATCTGCAGTTTGGTGTCCGGGAGCAGAAGTCCAAGATCAGAAAGGCCGTGCATCAATTTAAAGCGTCTCAGATTTTCGAGATGCCAGCATCCTTCATTCATGACTATCCCGACTCCTCTGGTTGAGTATTGAAAGGCCTATGTTGCTCCAGCAGCAAAGCCTGACAAAGTTCCTACAGCACCAAGATATTTGAATGATCTCGGGATCTCCGAGGCGTGCTCCTCAGTGTCCGTGTTCGCTCGCGCGCGTTTGGACGTTGTGTGCGCACGTGTTTGTTTGTTTGTGTGTGTATGAGTGAGTGAGTGAGTGAGTGAGTGTTGGGCGGCTCAAGGCACAAGCGGTATGTACTCTTGGGGCACGGCGTTTTTACCATCAGGTGGTGTGGGCAAACTTGGACAATGGCAAGGAGACCCGCACCACGCTGAGAATCACTGGCGTGCCCGTCAAGCTGCTGACGGCTTAGATGCTTTGGTTCGTCAGGCCTTTAAATTTCAAATCGCAATGTCTGGCATGATGCAGGTGCAAAGAATCCAGGTTTCATTTGTTCTTGGAAAACGCAGACTTGGCGGAGGCCCCATGCCAGCGGATGTCGCAGTATCGTACACATTGCCCTTCACCTGTAGCCTGCATGAATTGTCCATTGAACTGTACTGGCCAGCACGTGGACATCTTCCGCCTTTTCGCTGGCTCGCGCCGCCACTTCGGCACAGCTTTGGTCAACGCAGTGGCCAGGCCAGCTAACGAGTAATATTTTTGCGACGTTGACATGATTTCCTCCCTGTTTTCTTTCAGGGTGCAGCTCTGGTATGCCGAAAGGTGCCAGTGCCACACCTAGGTTTCCCCCTTGGGAGTGAAGTTGCTGGCGAAGTTCTTCCATGGACGGCAGTGGGGCGCAGCGGGTAGGATCATCCCTGCAGCCGCCCGCCTGACTCGGTTGGACTGCGAGCCGAGTAGAAACTCTGTCACGCTGCCCAGCGCCTCAGCGCATGCCGGCCTTGACAGGTCAGCTTTGCAGCAACGCAGGGACGAGACGAGGCTGGTGCCTGGCAGTAGCCCGATTGACGAAACGCACAATGAGATAATAATATGAGGGTGTGCACGTGCCAGGTGCTGCGAAAGTACCCGTGCAAGGCTCCTGCTGACTGGATTTCCGACGAAGGGCCTTCGTCACACGTGTAAAACGCAACCCGTGGGCAGGAAAACGTGCTCAAGGACCAGGCGGAGCAGGGCCTCAGCAGTGAAGCAAAAGGTGCATCGGATGCCAGCTCCAAGAAGTGCGGAGGAGAGCTCGCGATTCACAATTGCAAAAATTCACGTCTCTTGCTTAGACGCTTCGGTTCGCGGTCACTCCTTGTTTTCTGATTCCATGTTCCCCGCGTGGATACAAAGGCTCACACCTTGGCTGGCGACATGCCGGGGGTGTCCGAGGTCAGCACGGAGGTTCGGGAGTTGCATGCCCTTGATTTGCTCACGGCGAGTCAGCACAAAGCAGGATCATGTGTAGACGTCCTGTCATGACCTTCGCATGTGCATCGATTTGTTTGCCGTCGAGATGTGGACACCGCAGGCAAGCGACGATGCAGAATCACTGCCAGCTTCAGAAAGGCGGCGAGCGCAGCAGCGCAGTTGTTCTCTTGTCCGCCTCGTTTGATGCCTGTCATCCGGAGCTTGTGCAGAGGCTTTAGGCATGAAGCATCTGCCGAGCCAAAAGGCAGGGCGTCTGCGCGCATGTTGTTTGTGTTATTGATGTCCTACATGGCATACAAAGCTTTGGTCCATCTTCAAAGTCAAGACACCTGAACTTCTTACTTCAGGACTTGAGCACAGCGCAACACAGTGCAGCTCTACAACCGACAAACCTTCAGCAACAGCAAAAGATGTCGAAATGCTCTTGGCGGAGCAGCACGTTCTCCAAAAACCTGGTTTCGGGCTTAGGTTGGATCGAACCAGGTGTGATGGATGAGATAGTGAAGTGTGTCTGCTTCTTGGGTTCCTTGCTATGCCTTATGCTAGAATCTTATGCTTGATGCGAGCAATGCGACTTGAATCTGTTTTGCAATTCAGATTTTGCCTTCCTGCATCTTGGTCGAAAGGGGAGGGAAAGGCAGTTGGTTCACCTTGTGCTTCAGTCCTCCCGCAGCACATCTTGTCGTGTTCTGTGTCTGCAGGGATATTCAACGGCGGCATTGGCAACATGTGAAGTGCTGCCATGTCAGCCCAACTTCTGTGGTAGTATCAGTGAGGCCTGGTTATCACTGTAGCCACATCAACTTCAGGGCATGCTTGAAGCGTCGGGTACTGGAATTGTTAGTGGAATTCGATAGAATTTGCAGCATACGGCTCAGCTTTTGGTCTGCATCTACTTGTCATCTACACTATCTCATCAGCTTATATCAGCTTCGAATGCCCTGGCTGGTGGTTCGGAGTTGTGCGGTTGCACACTCTGAGTTGTGCATAATCCTGGACATATTGAACATGTTCGCAAGAAGGACGAATGGACTCAGCGAATTTGGTGCCTCTCCAGCATCTTTTTTCCGTGGAGCATGGGTCTCCAGAACGCAGGTGTGCACAGCGCATGTGCAAGTTTCACACACTTGGCCATGGGCGGGGTTGCTAGGAGCAACTCTGCGGCCAGCGTGATGTCCACACCGGGTTTCCCACTGGATGCTGGAAGGCCAACTATGTGCATGATGTCGGTGCTGGCAGAGTACATGACTGCAGCGGTGCTGGTAAGGATGTAAATTCCTCGCTCGGAAAAGCTCTAAAAATGCATCGCACGGCGGAGCAGTTTTGAGTACAGCCCTTTAGCCTTATACGGTCTTTGCAAGTGTCGTCGCTTGGCAGGCCGTGGCTCAAGCCATCATCACAGCCATGTGACACGCACCGTTCACCTCGTTCCAAGTCGGTGCAATGTATCCTTGACAACCAGCCGCACCGAGCAGGAACCATCTGCGATTGCACTTTGCTTGATATGGATACTGGCGGCAATGAAGCCTCAAGCAAGCGTCCGCTGCTGGAAGAGGCTGAACAGCTCCAGAGTCAGATTCTGTTTGGCTGGTAATCGGCGCTTGCAGCATGGCACTGGCACAGTTTTCAGTGACACTGCGAGGATACCGGAGAGCCACTGAGGGTGCCACGAGCAGGCACTCCGTCATACCACCTCGCAGGCAAGTGTCGCCATGAATGCAACAATGCTGTTGTTGGAAAGGCCAACGCGCCCAAGACGATCCAGAAAGCTATTCGCTCCTACAGGCAATAGCGCTGTCTGAAGTGACTGAGTATGGCGTATTGTTCGGGTAAGGAATCCTGTCGCTGCAGGCTGGGTCCACTGAGCAGCACTTGTCAGCAGGAGGGGGCAACGACTCGACAGCTAGACTTTGAAGATACATTTTGAGTCCTTGAGTTTCAGAGCTTGGAAGAGAAATCAGAAAGGATCTGAGCCGGAACAAGGGGGCGGCGTTCTGCAATTCCTCCGAACTGAGGAGGCTTGGGGAGTTGTGGTAGCAGGGAACCCGACGAAGGTTCGGCAAGAACTGTAGCCTCAGGAAGTGGCTGATGATCGACCGGTAGAGAGACGCTATGCTGAAGACGCCACAAGGCTGGGCGAGGCCACCTTAAGAGACTTGAGCTCGCAGAGCAGACTTTCCAGGCGACTGGGCGAAGCTCGAGATGCGGAGACCGCGGCGATAGAGATGCAAAGCATGGAGGCGCGAAAAAGGGCGAAACAGGGTGCTTTGAGCGACTTTACGCGGCAGGCCGGTCACTCCCGCGAGCTTCTGCCGGTGGTGCGCCCCTCTGTGGAAGCGTCTGTGCGAGGACTCAAAAGGTGCGGGAGTCGTACGGAGGTTTCTGCCGCTTCCTCGAGCGCAGCGCGACCCGGGGACGACAGGAACTAGTGGTTTGCACGCATTGCAACGCTTGGCTAACACATCTGACACATTCTGGGGTGCAGGACCTGCTTCATCTGCCTGCAGGCGCGACAGTGCGAAGAAATTCTTCTCCTTATTGGTCCAAAACCCAGCCTTATCCAGCCTTTCAACATTTGAACTCTTATGAGGTAGTACTTCGCTGAAAACTTGAACTTTTAAACCTTGGGTTTTTTTTGGGAAGTAATTAAGTCTTTTAGTTAGCTAGCCAGCCTTGACAGATGTTGACAGGACAGCGAGAAGGACAACCCTCTCGTCTCCTGCTGCTCGACATGCTACGCCCGTGCCCCGTGGTGTATCCACACCGAGCCATCTCGCGAGAACCAACACCCACTCTGACCGTCAGGGAACTCGCTGAAATTTCAGCATTTAGGGCCACACACATCTCCGGTTCGGACATGAGCACGGATGGGCTTCTGTTGAGGACCTGCGTGATGTGAAAGGTACACACAGACGCTGTTGGCGCGAGTGGCGTAACAATCAGCACCGTACCGCCTTGCGCTCTCACTTGCTTGGGCTACTTGGCAGAAAAAGAAAAAAGGGTCGGTCCGAGAGCCGTTTGAGCAAGGCAAGAATTCTGCCGTTTGAACATGTTAGCATGTTCATTTTGTTGGCAGGCTTCGCATCCAAACAAACCACATGTTGCGCTGCACCATCTGCAAATCTGGAACTGCGATGGTGGAAGGAGAAGAGGCCAGGCGTTCGATGCTCTTGCAGTCCAGCAGTACATTCCAAACTCTTCAGCTACGATCTTCTGCAGAACGGCCTGTCGTGGATGAACGAGCTCATGTGTGGAGGAGAGCCCAGTGCCTTGGCACCTTGTCAACTGAGCTTGGGAACCGCCTGCTGTCTCTTCGAGCCAAGGCGAAAACAGTTTGCTGGGGCGGCTTATTGCCTTGGGAAACCGAAGAGAAGATTCAGACGAGGATTCATGGGTTCATCATGGATGAGGGTGCGAAGCCTGATCAGACATCAAAAATCCTCGGATTGTGACAGGATCCAGAAGCGCAGCTGGAAGATTTAATTGACACGCCGCGCCCTGAGTGGAATCACGGTCCATGATGCGCTTGCTCGATGACTCGGTTCAGTCTAGGCGAACTTGCATTGCTTTGGTCATTTATCTCGGTGTGGTGTCGCCCTCAGAAGAGTTTACGAAGTGCGCCCCTCAGCATGAAAGCAATAATGCTCTGGGCAGCTCATCGTGGCCATCGTTGTGGCCTGCCTCCTGATCGTCACCCGAGGGGTCGGAAGACTCAGAAAGCTGTAGCCGCATTATTTCTGATCTGTCCTTCGCTGGCATACTGCAGTTCTGGGCTGGTGACGTGGTCCTGTGCTGCATTATCGCGCTTTATGAGCTCTCCGTTCTGCAGGCACGGCTTGCGCAGGAAAGAGCGCTGAGCTTGCTTCTGTCTCCTGTGCAGCTCGTCCTACTGGCGATCCTCCGACGTCGGGACACAACCCTCCAATCAGCTGGGACGAGGCCTTCGACTTTCTCTGCGTGACTCGGTCAGTGCTCTTAGGAAGGGACCTTTGGCCTGGCGTTACGCTTCCTCCTTTGAAACCATAGCTTTCGGCTTTAGGCTGTTTTCTTGTGTTGTCTAGGTTTTAGGTCTTCTGTGTTTCTTCTTCGGCAGGCAAGCAGCCGAAGAGCCCTCCGCAGCACGCGAAATACAGCTCCAGACGCTTTCCGAGCCAAGCCAGGAGCCCAGGAACTGAGGACTACGAAGGGCCTGCACTGCCTGCACCGTTTGGTTTGGGCATGCACCTCAGCGGCACAGCAAAGGCTGAGCAATCCATACCTTCCACTTGATGGCCCTGTTTCACTTCTAGGCCCAGACTGTACAGAGCCGTGACTGGCAGCTGGGCAGTGACATGAGTTTGAGAGCAGCCTAGTTGAGCTTGCAAGCGGACACGCCGAACCCAGTGAAAAGACTTCTTCCTTACTTGTTCCTGACGTGCTTTAGAAGCTTCGCCGAGTGGCACAAAGCCTAACGTAGATGCCGTAGCCGCAAGCTCCAGTGTAAGTAAATGGGCCGATGGACCGATGGATGTCTGCCACGGCCTCGATGTGAAAACAGCGCCGACACAGCTTCAACTCAGTCGATTCAGGTCAGGACCTTGCTGAAGCACAGTCGGCATGTGGACGGCTTCAAGCCTGGGAGATATCTCTCGCAGGTGGTGGCTGCACAGCGATGAGACTGCTCCTCACTAGCTACTCTTGACGGGCAAGTATCGTGATAGGTGACCGTTTCGCAAGCACGATTACAAGAGTTCATCCGAGCTGAGCTGAGCTACTTTGCAGCTCAGCACACGCAGGCATGCGACTGGGGGTAAGCTAGGAACCGGTAGCCTGTGACCGGGTGGAAGGCTCTCAGCTTGGAACAGATCGTCGAAGCGTCGACTCCTGGCAAAGTGGCACGGCTGGTGCACAAGGAGATCATTGAAGCGCGAAATCAGCTTTATCTTGCGAGTGCCGCCGTTTTTGTATTCTGCAATTCTGCACCATGCAGAGGAGCTACCCTTTCGCTTTGCTGCACGCATCGAGCATATTGAGGTGAGCAAAGAGAGTCCACAGATCTGCGCGGTTCTATGTGGTTGCGTGAGCCGAGTTCAGTGCAGGCAGTGACGGGATGGGAGCAGCAGCTCGAGCTGCAGATGCTGCCTCAGATATCCTTAGACACTTTGAACCCCTTGCCTGGTGCAGCGTGATCTTTGGTAGCGGTGCGACGGCTGGACGAGGCAATTGCACGAGATTTTCCTGGACTCATTCAGCGAGCTGCGCATGTCTGAACCTCCTGGGACTGAGGAGCCGGAAGCTGAACTCTTTTGAACTCGTGTCAACAGATCTACAACGTTTTTGCAGGACTGCCCGCTGTCGGTATCAGATTTAAGGGAGTACACAGAGGCCCCGCAAAGCAGATGATTCTCGCTTGCATGATACTCGCATCTTGCAAGCCTTGCTAAATCACAGGTCATCCGAAATGTTCGGAAAAGACATCGACCTGTCGTAGCATTGCTTGCTGAGGTTGGGTTTCAGTTGCCAAGCAATTTCCTGCACAGAAAGATGCTGGGCCCTGTGGAGGCTTTTCGGAAGATGATGCACAATGATGCAGCTTGGATTGAGGATGATGCTTTTCAGCCGAGTCCTCAGAGCCTCGGCGACTATGGAGAGCTGCAGTATTTTTGTGCTCCAGGTCGTGGGCTGACACCTTTCTGCTATCCAGAATCTCTACAGAAATGTTGGGCGCCGATGGCATCGATGCAAGAACCTTGCGGCCAGTGCTTTTGCTTGCGACGAGGCTTACCTCGCATTACATGGCCGTGGTGGAGTCGCACGACCCCTCGGAGCTCCTCTTAACACTGAAAAGCTCATATCGGCAAGCGCGCCAGCGATGCAGAGAGAGCGCCCGCGCACGTGAGGCCGCCCAGCTGCTGAGCCTTGTGCCCATCAGCGACTCAGATTCAGAAATAAGACTTCCGGGCGCTTCGAGTCTGAGGCGAGGATCACATTGGCATCGTTGACACGAAGTGCAATCCCGGCAGAATCTGCGAGGAGGATCGCTTTGCAGCGGCATCGCCCGTTTGTGAAAACTCTGAAGCCAGTTACCAGGCTGCAAAGGCCGTCCAAGCGATGTACAGAAGTCCGAGAAGGCTCGAAGCTTGCGATTTCGTCGCGTGCGCCCGGCTTGATTGCTGAAGAATTCCCACTGCGCAGGCAGCTTGCAGGGAACCTGAACATCGAGGTTCACTCGCATTCTGACTCTGGCTCGCTCTCAGCCATCGAGTTTTCTTACATTCCCAAGTATTTGTTCTACATTGTCCAGGACTCGATCGGGCCGCAGAGAGAGTGGAAAGAGGTGATGGCTCCCACGAGACTTCCTGGCAGGAGCTGATCAAGAACAGTGCCCGGGCGACGGTCGAGGCACCTGCGGCCGGAGACTGTGTTGACATGCATTGGTTCATCCAATGGACCACTGGAATCACATTCGTTTGGACAGTGCAGAAGCTGATGCAGGGGAGGGGAAGCTTCACCTGGAATGTGATATCTCGGTGCAGTGCAGTGTGGATTTGAAAGTGCGGTATTTGCGCTCGATGCATTAAGTCGAAGGCTTGCTTACCTTTTTTGGGAGTTCAACAGGAGCTCGTGCTGTTCGGGATTCATCTTTTAAGTCCCAAGGTTTTGAGAATGGACCCCTTTCCCGGGCCATCGTTCAGAACCTGGCAGTTTGAGTGATTCCTTCGAGACATTGGGAGGCCTGCGAGATGGACCGAAGGAGAACTTTGTCCCAAAGGCCTATTGTGGTCACCGTCATCCTGGCATGCTATTGGATTGCGAAGTAGCTGCGCCATCAGTGCTCCCCTTCTAGATGGATCTCGCAGCCCATGCTTGTGCGAGGTTTGCGCAGACCAGAAGCAGGTGGCCATACGAATAGCAGATCAGGCGCGGATTGGCCATGCTGTGTTGAAGGGGCCTTCGGCCACAACTTCGAATGCCGCCTATGGCCGCCTCTAAGCTTACATGAGCACTACGCAACAGAGTACGCTTCCTAGTTCCTAGGCTTCGGTATACTTCTGACCTTTACAGTCCTAGAGTTCTAATTACTGTACAGAGTCATTTTGGGGGGCCGTTAACTGAATTGCAACCCGATTTTGCATATGATGGATCCATGATGTGACGTGGTTTTTACGGAAGCCTGCCTGCTTTAGGGTTTCAGCAGGTCCTGCCCACGGCATCCCGAATCCCGCCCTGTCCACAGCCATTCCTGAACCCCAAAGCCATGCTGCACGTCGCCGGGTCAGGGTGGCGGCGTCCCCTTTGGTAAAGCGGACGAGATCTGGTCATACCGCTTTTCTACATCAAAGCAGCCGGTCCAGGAAGCCTTGTGCAGATTTAAAGTGCAGAACCGGCTGCAGCTTGTAGGCGTTTAAACTCCGATCTCCTCAGGAATACCTGGAGAGTGGCAGTCCTCTTGCTGGTTGGGGTGTCGGTCTGCCTCTTGGGCGGCTCTATGCCAGGCGGGAAGAAACGAGCCAAGCAATAGCATTCGTTGCCGCTACTTGTGTGTGTGTTTGCTTTTGCAGGTATCTGGGAGGGTCCTTGGAGCTGATGAATGTACCTGGCACTGGAGTTGACGCGCCGCAGGCTGAGATTTGTTGGTCCTTCGGACAGTTTTCAATCTCCTGGTTTGTTGCGTTGTTCGGACCACAGGCGCGGCCCCATCTTGTCAGTCGTTGATAGAAACGGCACTTCCATGTGCCCATCTTTAGCTTTGCATCACTGCATTCAAAGGTGATTTCACCCCGGCCCCAGCCTGTCCTGGGGCCTCCTGGCTCTCATCAAAACGGCCTATACCGAGGTATCTCTTTCTGCGGCGAATTGCACCAGAGGGTGTTCCGTCCTCTCCCCATTGTTCCTCACACTGTGCTCTTTTGTCCTCCTGGAAATTGCAGTCTGAGGCGCTCCTCGATATCTGACTCGCTGGCCCCAGTCTAGACAGCCCTGACGTGGTCGCTTCAAACTGGTGGACTTCAACTTCCAGCCTGCGGTCGTTGCCATCTGCACTCTGCAGCTCAGCAACAACGTCGTCTCGATGTGTTTGGTTGGAGGAGATGGCATCCGTCGCGAACCGCGGACATGGAGACTCAGGACGACTCACACGAGAGCATGCTGCAAGCGCCGTGGCATCTTGCAAGCTCCGTGTCTGAAACGAGACAAAGCAGCACAATGCAAGGGAAAACGCGCAGCTTGGCGGGTGAACCGCACATGTTGCCAGGTCGTCGTACTCTCGAAGTGCGTGCCTCGCGATGGTTCAAGCCGCTGTGGAAAACAACGCAGTTTGCATGAACCAGAAGACAGCTGACAGCTCCACTCCAAAACACCCTCAGAACCCAGCTAACTGCCACATAAAGAGGCAAACGGGCCAACAAACGCAAGTTCGGTAAACTTGGCCGGACATGCAGAGAGTCGGTGTTTTCCAATGATTTGGAAGCTTCAACGTGGGCGCAGAATGCTCAGTCGCTTCGAGCAGCTTCTGTCGAGACGGCTGTGCTCAGTTGGTTTGAATGCAGGCGCGGCCCATCGAAGACGGCAATGGACGAAGTTGATATGTCACCTTGCGAACTTTATGTGCGCTTAGGACAAGGTTTGTCTGTTGTTTCCTGCCTCTTCTGCTCTGAGTTCTTTACAGATGCGGCTGATCTCGCCAGGTCAGTCTTTTCGAAGATGGCAGAACTCCTCGCAAGACCGCCACCACCACGCATACAGTACATGCCAACCATCGCCTCCACAAGACTTTTTGCTATGAGCATGACAAGGCTGTCCCCTACGGCCTTGGAAAAGGAGGCAAAGGAGGAAGCAGCAGCCAGCCGTCGTGCACCAAAGCCCAGGACGGCAAAGGCCTGCTTTGTATGGACATGAACAGGTTGAGGTCAGCAGCTTAGCAGTTTGCAGCATTCGTGGCAAAAGACGCCAGGCACGAAGTGGCCTTCAGAACCGTTCTGGCTCGGCACTGGAGCCTGTGAGACGGTCTCCTGTGGTCAGTAGCGTGGGCAGCCAAGCTAACGACAGTCGTAGCCCGGTACTCACGTCAAGCATGGGGCCATGCGGTTATGGCCTGAATGTTCCGCTGCATCTGCGCGTGCCTTCCACGAATCCGTCTCGCCATGCCGAGCCAGAACTTGTAGCTGTCGTCATTCAGGCGAGGCAAATGCAGGAATGCGTGGACGGTCCATATGAAATCCTTCGCTGCAGAAGGAGTAGGTTTTCCGAGTTGTTCCCGAGATCACCACGACAGCTGCGATGCTAAACCAGTAGAAGATGCTTGAGTGGTGTAACGGCTGACTATGAACATGGTGAAACATGAAATGCGGATCACATTGTGTGGCATCATTGGCATCGTCTAGGCACAACCATGCCTGCTCGTGTCAAGTGATGCAGAGTGGCTCAGATCTTTCCCTTCATGCACTCCAACAGCCCTGCCTGCTACTTAGGATATCGACACGGAAGCCAACGGAAGCATCCTGTCCGCTGTCTCCGAGCTGAGTGTTGCCGGCATTTGTTCAACTCAGCTCGGGCATTTGCCGGTGCAGATGCTAGTGCTTCGCAGAGCAGGTGGACTACAGCAAGTCTGGAAAGAGAAGGCTAAGCATCCCTCCTACAGAAAGGCCGCTGGCATGTCATCGATCTACGACGATGTCCGAATTTCCAGTGAAACGTGCAGGCAGGACCTCCTCGAATGAAGAGACCTCCTGTTAAAGTTCTCGCGGAGGAGGCCAGGTACAGGGCTATGGGGAATATTTGGGAATCGGGAACCTCGGCTGGACTGATTCCCGACAGGAACGCCTTCAGAAAATGGACGAGATTGACAACCTCGAGCAGCAGTTGACAGAGGTGACTAAAGCAATTCGTCGAAGCATCTGCCGCAAGCAGGGACTCGGACCGTTGCAAGGCCAAGAAACTGGCGGCTGCCACTCGCGAGGCTGCTGCAGCTGCTGAAAGGCTTGCGCAGGCTGCAGAAGCCGAGGAGCAGGAGCTCGTCTGATACAAGTACCGCAGCTGCCACGTAGAGAAGAGATTTAGTGCTTCAGTAGGACTCTGGCTCCGAAAAGCGGACAGCGTCGGAGCTCCTGGGCTCTGGCTTCGGCCCTGAGGCAAACTGTGAAGCAGCGATAGGACATGACAGGACTGACTGTACGTCTCAGACGTAGCGATAGGGGGTATTTGTTCCTGGGTTTGTGACAGGTAGCGCAGAAAGACGGGCTCCATCGGCAGGTGAACTGGGTGTTGATCTGCGCTGCTTGTTTATCATGGGTCCAACCTTGGTGGAGTTTAGGGGATGCCGTGCAGATGCAGGCTGAGGAGAGAGTCAAGGCACGCCGAAAACAAGAGGCAAAGGACTGCCGCAAGATGTGGGATGGAGCCTCGAGGGAGAAAAGCCAGAACGACTAGGAAAGGTGCTTGCAAGTGTAGGAGCGGAGAGAACGCAGCCGGAGGGAGGCAGAGGAGAAGCGGAAGAAGCAGGTGCGAGGACAACCCCAGCCGAATGAGCCCTGATGCATTGGCACCCGTCAGGCAGACGCAGAAGCGAAGGCAAGTGAATTGGAGCGACAGGCCAAAGAACGTGTGCAGGACAGGACGACATACTTACCGTTAGTCACGTTAGTCTTTTCAGCGGCAAATTCAGGGCCTGCTGAGACCACAGTCAGGATTGAAGTTGTGGTTTCCGGGCGTTCGCCTTTCAACACGGGTGTGAAAGTACAACTCGAACGGCGCTACGTTGCCGGCTCCATCTCCGTGCAGACCGTGAGCTCGAGCTCGGTTCGTTCTTCTGAAGGAGCGCATCCGAGCAGAAAAAAATCGCGAAAGGCTGCTCCAGGAGCAACAGGAGCGCCGAAGACTCAGCTGTAGAACCTTGTATCTAGCGAAGGTGACACAAGGTGATGCAGCCGTGAACCTGCAGGTGATGCCGAAGAGCGAGAGAAGCGTTCACGGCAGGTAGCCGAGGCGCTCGTTGCGAGCCGAATTCTGCCTCCTACTTGGCTGATGAATCTTAGAGCCCTGGAGAGGAGCTCCGTCAACAAGCGGTGAAGCGATTGGCTGACAAGGAGCTGCATGCTAGGGAGGCCACTTGAGAAGCAGGCTGTCATCACTTGTCAGGTCTGAAACCAACTAGATTAGATGCTGGCAGGATGATGTATGGGCCTTTCTGATTTCGCACAATTCAGGACCATGCAAGCCGACAACTGGCCGAAGAGATGGCCAAGCAAGAGTCGGAGGAGTCGCGAGTCATTGTTGTTTACTTCTTATTGAAGCATCCCCTGCAAGTACAGCAAAAGCATGGCACGCCTGGTTCATGCGATCTTCTGCATAGCTGCAGCTAGCACTGGCCACACGTGCGCTACAGCCCAAAACGGCCGAAAAGATGATGCGAAGAAGACGCGGGCTAGGGGCGAGCGTGCCGCCAATGCTACAATTGAATTCCTTTTTTTTTTTTGTTGCCCATTGCCGAAAATGGGAGGGTGCTTGCAGCCTGCTATGGTGTGTGGTTTGTGCAGCCCGCAGCAATGACAAACGCTCTGTTTTCGATACAGTTATACATCATGTCGGGCACTCTCGTTCGCCTTTGCAGTGTTTTAGCGAGCCTTTGCAGTTTTTTTGGCGAAGAATTTGCCTGAGATTCCCCATGTGCGCTTTTTCCGAGCAGGAGACATGGCCCAGACCCAGACCCTTTGAGCCCAGAGCATATGCTTCAACAGCACTGCAAGCGATGACTTACGACGAAAGGCAACGTGGAACACGAGCATACACAGGCTCACACTGGACCCGGAGGCCAGGCGGCTGCAAATCGAAGAAAGCGAAGCCCGAGCTGAGGAGCTGCGGCGGCCCCAAGACCCAAGATGCCGGCAAGTCGATGTTCAGACGATCCAGAGTCAGAGAGGCGAATGAAGACGCGACAGCGAATGCATCAACACCTCCGAGAGCAGAAGGAGCAGGAGAATGCAGCCGAAGAGGCACACGGATGTAGACCAGAGACTGACATGCATTGCACCGGTGTCGGAGGCCCGCCAGCGGCGCATGGAAGACGCAGCTAGGGCTGCCAACTCAGTTTAAGGTTTCGCAATTGCACAGCAGTCCCACGGCGAAGCCGCTGCCAGTGACCGCCTTCCAAAAGCCGCCCCAAAGCATGCTTGGCCTGAGCCACGGGTCGCCACAGACCGCTGCTATGCATGACATGCAGAGGTGCGATCTTGGCAGGGTAAGAAGTCGCGAATGGTATGTGAAACCACACGCTATGAAATGGAATTCCCTGGCACCTTCCACCTTCCAATCCAACACCGTTCTGGCCTCTGTTTGTAACGGGTATTTGCGCGGCTTCGGCAGGACCCGATGGAGCCCTGAGATGGTAGGCAGACATGCATCGGGCTTGCATCATGATCGGCTGGGCCACCTGCTATGCTACGTGCGTTGCAGCTTGTTGACTCACGCTGGGGTTAAGTGGAAGGAGTGTGTTGTGTCCGCTACAACTGCATGACCCGGAATCGCAAGCTTGGCTCATCTCGGCTCCAGCAAGAAGTACTCATGTTTTGCTTTGGCATGTCGGCTCGACGTCTGTGTTCTTGCCCTTTCCTTTCTCATCTCTGAGCTCTTGGCTCGGTGTTGGCAGCTAATGTACTTGCTCACATCTTGGGACCATGGCCTTTGTATTGGCCGGCGTTTGAATTTCCTTGTGGACCGACCGCCCCGAAAACTCATCATCCATAACGCAATCCTAGAAGTCTAGTAACCTAGTGCTTTGACAGAGAACCGAACAACGACCAGCCCACCGTTGGCAGCATGTGCTACTAGCCGCACAAATGCTAATCTATCGCAACTGGAGGCCAGCCACCCGAAACTCCGGCTTGGGCCGCAGGGAAGAAAATTGATTGTAACATTGTAACCTTCCAGCATTGCATCTCTCATTTGTCCTTTGATTGCTCGTTTGACAATGCAGAAATCTCTGAGTCTCCCGCCGCTTCAAGCACCTTTCCGAGTTTCTCGGGTGCCTCGACGTGCTCTTACTCGAAGCTGTAAGGTTTGTCACCAGTCACATCACATCTCCGTAGAGACACGTGTGTGGACTGCATCGTCGCAGCCCATCCAGGCCGAAGAGGGCAAGATCCGGCAGGCCATCGCAGTGGACGTCTGAAACGCCCGCACAGCGGATTGTTCGGCGCATTTCGGCGCACCGCACCAGGCGTTGCAAAGCCAACATCGAGCACAGCTCAGAGCAGCGGAGTTCAAGCACAAAGCCAGATCGGAAGAGCAGGCACGGAGGGATGCGCAGGGTGTGACGCTGGGGCGATTGGCTTTGGATGCTCTGTGCAGTCCAGGCTCGCATGCTTCTCCACGAAGAAGAGATGGAGCGTCAGCAGGAGCACGCAGAATCAGCGGGGGGCGTAGGCTTTGCAGAACGATGTATGGTCTTCGACGCATCTTCGAGGAATTTGCCTCTGCAGCTGAGGCGCTCATGGAGCGGCAGCGCAAGCGCCGCTGGCGCGCCAACCTGGGCAGCAAGTCATTGACACCCCAGTCCCAGTCCAATGCTTCGAGGGCATCCAGCCAGCCACCCTTGAGGCACAGCTGCTTTCTCAGAATCCAACTACCACTTGGTTGCCTCGTCTTTTGCCAGTCCTTGTGCAAATTGTGCAGGCCTCTCCAAAGCCAAGACTCCCTTGCCCATGCACGGGGAGGAGGCCACAGAACTTGAAAGCGACTTGCCACAAAGGCCGCAGATGCAGTGATGCCTGCAGTGCTTGCAGGTTGCAGCGCAGAGAGCAGCCGAGCGAACACGCCGAGCTGTCCGACATGGGCGGTTGTAGACAGCGATGCAGTTCAAGCACCGGCCCGGCCCAGGCGCCTGGGCAAAGAAAGTCGTACAGCAGGAATCAGGAACACAATTGCAATGACGAGTCATCTCCAAGGGAATGCGGAAAGATCGGAGGGTCATGTTGCAGATTGCTGATGACACTGACGCCTTGTCTCTGGAACCGAGGCCGCATGCCGTGCATTCCCGTGCTGCGCTGCTTCCACGATTATGAACTATGGATTCAATTTCTGCGGCTGTTGGGCAGAGCAGGGTCGTGGGCCAATTTCACGGATCTTTGCCGAGCCTCTTGAGCGCGACAAAGGCCGCTACGCCCATACTGATGCCTGTTCACCTCATCAATATGGGTGGTTGTCAAAATTAGGGTTCCATTTTTGGATCCCTGATATAGTACGGCACCTAATATTTAGGGTACCCAAAAAATTGACCCTAATTTTGACAGCCACCCATATGCTGACCTCGGGACAGCATGCCGAATTCAAGCCAGGTGGGATTTCAACAGTGGCAGGATGACATGGGCGCCCCTAGTTGACAAAGAGTAGAGTTCCGTGCTTGACCAGCAAACGAAAACAATCAATGAAGTGGTATTCTCATCATGTAATGTTTCTCATCGAAGATTGTTGGGCAATATGCAAATACCCTGCGTGCATATGGCATGAACACAGGAGTTTGTCCAACAGCAAGGCCATCAGCAATGGCCAGCAATGGCTGATTTTGTAGACAGATTACACCCGTCAATCCGGTAAACGACCAACCTAGTAACTAGTGATTGGACCGTCAAGTATGAAAATTTCTCCAGTAAGATTGAATGTTATTTCCTCGATTGTACAAAGCTGCCTATCTTCAATAAGCAACAGTTCAAACAATCCATTTTCTGGATTACTTTAAAGGATCCATGAATGTGCCAATCAAAACATTAGACCGGGACAGATCATGACATTGACAATGTAGGATAAGGAAAAGGTTTCGTGAAAGAATCAAACACATGGAGTATGGACAGTATGGCAGTATGGCGGATGTAGTACAGTACCAGCACAACAGGAGCTCAAAAAGCACAGCATTCGCTGTGCCAAATTTCCATGATGAACAATTGACATGTTCGGGGAATACATGAATAGACGAAGAACGATAGGCTCGAGATACAAGCTGCAACGATCCATGCAATCACGCTACCTTTAATTCAACCACTCCTATATCTTCCCTACGATGGGCTATCAGAGGGATGGTGGCGAGCATGTATGCATCCGCAGCTAGTTGTCCATCCCTCATCTTTCACAACTGCATGGAACTGGTGAAAGATCAATATCCTGAATCCGTTCAGTTCGGCCACGGAGAAATGTTCTCACGAAAACAGCGCTCACAGACGCTAAAACATCTAGAACCTCGATGGCAAGGTCCAGGTGGAAACCGTAGACCTCACAGAAGTTGGGGGTATGGCATTGCCGAAGCCCAGCAAGATAACGAAAGCTAGCTTTGTGGAGCTTGCGGGAGTTGTCACTTACGTAGTAGCGAACTCGGCGAAAATTGCGCCAAGGACCTTATCTGGTCCTTTCTGTAATTTGTAAGGACAGTTCGAGCTGCTCGTAGATGGCCGAGTTATTGCTCATGGGGACATTGCGGCAGTCAAGGAGGTCGGTCAAGGCGCTACGGTACGACAAGGTGTATCTGTTTGTGGTTCGGTGCAACGCAGAACAATGCTATCATGTTGCAGGTTGAAGCTTGATGGTAGTACACGTGAGCTAACCGAGCTCGACTCTCTTCCTTTTGTTGCCCCAGCTTTCGAGGCCTCTTCTCAAGCGTGATGGCAGTCCCAAACCCGAAAGTGGGTGGTCCAGTGGTGAGCACTGAGCTGCGGCCGAGCTTCGTAATAGTGCGCCCGAAAGCCCGAAAGCCTTCGAAACAATTGATTCGCCGGTTCCAAATCCGGAGCAGCCAGGTGCCACAACTGACAAAACTGCCACGGGCTGCCAGCCAGCCTGTGAGGCCTTCACATGCCCGTATCGGACCAGGGATTGCCATCAATGCGCCTTCACTCCTCGTGCTTTCAGCTCCGGACAGGCAGAGACCTCCGGCAGCGCTGCCCTTGCAAGGCTAGGCTTCTTGTGCCGCATGCGCGTGCTGCTGGATTGGACTGAAGAGGCAGCAGGGAAAGCAGCCGAGCAACATCACCAAGATGCCCTGAGTGGCATATCGGGGACGCGGATGAGAACCCACCAGCTCTAGAAGAGGAAGTTCCGTCCATGTCGCCGAGGCACCGATTCTTCATGATTCTTCCAAGAGCACGCAGAGGGCATAGCCAAGATCGTTTCATGTCAGCCGTCTTCTCGGACCAGGACGTTGGCCGGTCTGTGTGAGACACCTGCGCCTCCTGACAATGCGCAGTCAGGCACGAACGACGGCGTGTGAGTTTGCCAGGCGTATAAATTGCAAACCACTCGCTTTTGCCAGTGCCCAAGCCGTGGAAGCAAAAGGCGATCCAGGCCTTTGGGTCGGTCGCGGTTTGATGGCATGCAGCCATGGGCCATGACTAACTCAGCAATGACTTTGAATGGAGGTGAACTCAGCCTCCTACTATTTGGAAGCCCTCAAAGCTGCTCGTGGTGGAAGAGGTCAAAGATATCGATCGCGCTGAATGATGTGTTCGTGATGGCCCTTGCAGTGCCTTGCAGGTACGCCGAGCGCTGCAGGTAGACCAGCTCCGGGAAGCCGAGGCAGCCGTACTGGTAGCTGGTAGCGTGAGCGCAGACTCCAATTCCACGGAACTCTTTGACAGGCTACGCCGAGCAAATGCGCCTCAGGGCGGAGGATGTCGAGGCCGGTGGAAGTGGGTGAATTGGCTGAAATCACTGGCTCTGAGTTGGCCGGCCAGCAGGCAAAACAGCGGGAGGAGCAGGACACAAGGATGGAGAGGGGTTATGCAGCTCTGCAGAGGGTGCAGCACAGGGGCATGCAGGACGGGCATTTTGTTCTGCATGCCAGTCGTGCCGAGTCACAAGCCTCGAAGGCCTCTCCAGTTCGCAGCTCCATGGCGTGATGATGCACGGTGCTTTGCAACTTCGCTTCTTTCCAATCGCATTGTCTCACCCATCTGTTGCATTTGCATGAGAAGCATGTGTTTTATGTATGTCTTTCTACAGGTTTCCACGGATTCGACTGATTAGACGATATCGTGCCTCTCAATGTTGCTTCCGCAAAGTCCGTGGTCATCTGTGATGTTTGCCTGTCCCAAATAGCTCGACCTTTGACCGGTCAAATGTTGTAAAGCCCTTGCAAATAGTGCTTCTAATAGAGTCGGACAGGTCCCTGCTCCGAATGTGACCGGCTTCACTGGCGATAATGCAAGCCGTTTCACCTTCCTGAGTGAAGTGTGAACCTTAACTCCGTGCTACTAGTACCACTGGAACACCAGGGGTTGTCCCGCTGTCTTGATGGCGAGTGACAACTATACAGACATAGTGATACCGCTCAAGAAAACAGGGTTGAGCATGAAGCATTCGGGGTTTGGCAGGGTCCACTGCGGATCTCGAGCTCGCACATCGAAGCTTTCCAGTTGCTGAGCTGTGTGTCAATTCTTCATCGCAGCTTTCGGATCTCCGAAGTTGGGCCGTTCGGGCCCTCGGATAGGCTTCTTGGTGAAGCGGCGCGAGAGGCGCTGCACAACACGAAACGTGCGAAAAGAAGTGGCCGGCTCCTTAACCTGCCTATCTCGGTGTTGACATGGCTGGACTGCCACCTTCCTCAAAGCAACCCACTGCAACGGCTTAGGCCACATGACAGATCCACCGCCAGCGGCGGTGTTCCCGAGCTTGCGGCACAAGTTCAGCACTCGGCTGGCGAGCAGGAGATGTTCAGCGAAGTCAAGTTAGTGCGAATTGCAGGCAAGTTCGCCAGCTCCAGAAGACCGAGATGTGCAAGTTTCACATGATGAATAGGCCGTTTACGGAGCGCGGCCTTGGTGTGAGCAGGCTTTGTAGGTGTTCAAAGCCATGTGCACAATGGTAAGTCAGTAGTACTTGTACTGGTAGTATATGGGAGTATGTTGTTAAGCGTATGGACACCTCAGGGTGGATATCCTTCTGGCAGGTGTGGAAAGGGCCCGAACTGCAGCTTCGCCCATGACGTGTCAGAGATACGGGACAAGCAAGGCTCCAAGGTTTTCCCTATCAAGATCAGCTTGACACGTTGCGACTCGAATTAGGCCGAATCTCAACCGCACGAGCATGTGCAAGACCTTCCTGCTGACCGACCCTGAATAATTGCGAGCGGGAGTGTTGCTGAAGGAAGTCACCTCGCGACATAGCGGACTGCGGCTGAGGACCGGGAATTGTGACAAGCCCCGCTGTGCCTTCGCACACGATGAGCGGCTGCAGACTCAGAGTATCTCAGAGTAGAGTGTGGGCAGTCGGGGGAGTGTTTCTTGCAGCAGACCACCTCAGGGAGCTTCGGACGACGGAGGGCTTCTTTAAGACCAAGCTGTGTCGTTTTGCAAACCGCGGTCGCTGCAAGCGCTTGCCTCAGCTTCGTCTCGGATGAGCCTTGGAGCCTACTTTCAACCCTTTTTCTTTATTGTCAAGGCACGGAGGCGCCTGTCGATTTGCTCACAGCACACAGGCCACTCCTGGAAACGCATCGGACACTCTTTCAGATCTACCCTTGGCAGATCTTGGCAGGAACTGTTGCCTGAGGAGAAGCCCGCTGCAGGGCCGCAAGCACAGGCCAGCACGCTGCATGCTCGCACTGGGCTCGCACCTGACATGACGGACTGCCTCAAGGACATGCCTCCAGTACCTTTCGGGATGACTTTGCAGCAGGAACATACGGCCTAGCGCTGAGATTTCCGAGGACAACACGTCTGCAGTGGGTTAGCGTTGGCAGATCAGGTGCCGGCAAGGCCAGATGTGCCTGGTGCACCAGAAAGAGGACTGCTCTCGCACTGCTACTGAAAGTCTGGGTCTGCCGAAGCCCACGTGCATCTTGCATTGCCTTCAGCTGGATGGAAGTAGCAAACATTTCAAACAATGTTCCATGCCGACGGCCGGAACAAGGTGCCTGTGACAGCCCCGTCAGTGTGCATCGAAGATACAACCCAAAGCACCAACGGCGGAACTTGCTCATGTTGGAGCCTCCGGCTCAGGCCGCCAACCCAAGAGGCCGCAAGCATCATGCTGGACACGGCAGAGGCTCGTCGACGCGAGGCCGGCTGAGCCGGCGCCGTCGCCGCGGCGTGCACGTTGTGGGAACGGGGGAAGGAAGGGCTACGAGAGCCGGGGAGGAAGGAAGGGGCGGTGGACGCAAGGGAAGGAGAAACCATTCAACCATCCAAAACGCCGCCCCAAGGGCGGTCACAGAAGGTTCTGCCGAAAGGCGAATCCGGCACAATGAACGTGTTGAGCAAAAATGAGGAAACCGCTCACAGATGAGGGCGCGCATTGTGCAGCCCTCAAGTGTGCCGAGAAGGGCCTGTTGTTTGATGTCCAGTCCAGGCAGACATTGAAGATCAATTGAAGTAAATGGAAACACATGTACACCAGGTCGACGATGCGAGGCACGATCTGATTGTTTCTCAGACTTTCAGTGCAGCAGTCCTTCGCTTTCACCGACAGTTTTGAGAGGCAGCAAGCACCAAGCGAAACGAACACGTCGGGTAGCGACAGCATGCCCGGGCCCTATGGCGGTTCATCCCGTCAAGGCTGCAGAAAGCACCGCCAGTGCATCCTCAGGTCGGAGCAGCGCACAACTCGTGACGAAGCTTCAGATCAGAGCACCAGGGCAGACACATCCGCATCCGTGGGCCACCTGGTTCATGCGAGCCAAATGCAGTGCAGATTCTAAGCTTCGAGGTGCCAACGCCTGAGGGCAGTGGAGACTCTGGTCCCGAGGCACGAGATTGGGCACAGAACTTTGCACCATTCTTTTGCCGAGTTCACAGGAGACTGCCAACGCATCTCCGGGAGCTGACAGCCCTCAGGCTTGGTGCGCTTCGCATTAACCACACGATGTGACAATGTGGCTTTGAGCCTCACAGGAAAGACCTCGACAACGCCGTGGGGGGGAAAGGCCTCAAGCAAGGTCCGAACACTGTGATGAACAGTATTGAACGGTACCAGCAGTGTAGAATGCTCAGCTGCCCCGGTCATTGAGGCACTGCACAACCATGATGCTCACCAACGTGCCTCCATTTCTGACACAGGCCGGCGTTGGGGCTGCCGGGCTGAAATCAACATGACATGAAAAATGCTATGCCGATAAGTCTTCGTTGAATTTGTGAAGGCGGCCATGAACCCTGCCACCATGTTTCTTCAAAGTATCCACAGCTGTTGCGATGAGACTAATTGCCTGATCCCGCCGAAGTCAGGGCGCTTTGATCTCGCTCCTGGAGGATCTCAGTACCTACATGTCCTTGACCCGGCATCTTGCAGCTTCTGCCCGCGAAATGCATTTTGCAGACTAAGGCGCGGTGCTTTCGACTTTTTCTATTGTCCCTGGGACCCCTACCAGGACGAACCAACCGAATGTCAAGATGTGTGCCGACTGTGCGCATCTTGTGGGAGATGTGACATACCTGGCATATCCTCCGACATCCTCGACAGGATCGTAACCTCGGCTATGCCATCGTAAACTTTTTTATGAGGTCACAGCTTTGGACATGGACCATTCAGTGTTGCCACATGCGGCTTTGGTCGTATAATGCTGTAATGCCGAAGAACGGGTCAAGTCAATCCATGCAGTCTCCGGACCAGGTCTGTGGCAGCCGAGTTTGAGAAGCAATGGGCAAATCAGCCACTTCTGCCAGGGAGCGCATCGAGCAAACCTGTCACTGTTCTGTTCTTGGCAGTGCCCAGACGTTGAGTGAAGCAATGCTACTGATATGTCCTTAAGAAGGACGCATGGTTCCAAACGACTGCGAATCATGCCAGCTGCGCTGCAGGCAACATGTTTCATCTTCGTGTCGTTCTGTTGTTGATTTGTTTTCTCAGGGACGCGCGGCCAACCTGCGGCACTTCTCCGGTTTCAGTCGCCTGCAGGAAAGATAGGAAAGTTGGCATGTAGAGTTGTGCTGTTCGCATCGCTGCATCTGGAACACCCCCGCCGGGATCCTTCAGCAAGGTCTCGCACATCATGTGGACCCACGTTTCCGTCCACTGGCCCGAAGCCTTGTTTGCGGATGTTTGCGGCATCGCAGCGGACAGTGAGGTTGCGGGGCATTTCTTGTAGTGTGGCTGTGATCAGGTCCGGGCTGGGCCTAAGGAAAGCTTGCAGCCGATGGCGCTGTCGGAGGTCGCTCAGTCGAGTTTAGTTCTTCTGAACATCAAATCTCCAGAGATGGACCATCGCGCGCGCGCAGGAAATCAGGGACACGGAAAACCAGAACAAGCAAGGAGCCGCAGGGAGAGAGAGACAAAAAGAGAGAACTCCCCCACCCTCTACCCTTCCGAAAGAAAAGAGAACTCTCGGCTTTGGCTTGCCAGCGCACGGTTTTGCATGGCAGGAGCTGTGGCCTTCGAATGCAACTTGCAGCCACAACCCCAGGGCCCTGGCCAACAGCAGCCGTCTCAGATCCCAAGCAGAGGGGTTGATCCATTTTTCCCCCTGCACTGGTCACGTGTGGTGTGGCAGGGACACAGCGGTGCCTACAGGCCCCTCTGCATATCCAGAGCCTGCCTTTAGCAGTGATTGAAGAAGGCTTAACCACTTGCAGGTGGAATTGGGGGCGGGGCAGGTCTGCCCCATGCCCATCCATGGTCTTCTGAAGTTCTGGCAGCTGTGGCATCCAGGCTCAAAGTTTCACAGTCTGTCAAGCCTACTGTGGGCTTCTCTCTCGCGGTCTTTCACCACGGCAGGAGCACACCTGCTCTTGCCTCACAAACACTGGCCGTGGCCTCATCCGGCAGTGTCCTGCCGTGGTTGAAGTTGGTAGACTACCCGGCCAAGGAACAGGCCGCCATGCTGGCAGATCCGACTACGTCATTTCCCCAGTCCCAGTGTGCTGCACAGTCATGCAGGTGGCTCGTTTACAGCAGTCTACCAGCGCGCATTGCTTCCTCGTGGCGAGGTCGCAGGCTCTAATGATGCTTTTGGCGAACACTCGCAACGTTCCACCCGTGGCGGATGGGATGTCCGCCGGTCTGGGCCGCATCCTAAGTGCAGCTAACCTTTGCTTTCGGCTTTGTCAGCAATGTACTGCGCCGGCAGGGCTGCGTGTCGTTCTAAGGACAGCTGCCACTCCGTCCAAGGTCGTCATCCCAGACTGTTCCAGATCACCCTGTCCTCAACCGCACAACACGCCTTCGCGATTCTAGAGGGATCGCTCTGCACTCGAGCCGCCTCCAAGAGATGTAGACAGAACAGTTCCGGCAGCAAGGTAGCACTCGCCATACCAAGTGCCATTGAGGGCGCATGTCTTGGATTGGAAGCATCCTGAAGTAGACCTCCCTGGAGGAAAGCGATGAGTCCCCAGTCCTCCCCTCCATGTAACAAAGGGGGTAGATTGGCCAGATGACCCACACGAGCGCAAAGGGAGGGCAGCCTGAAGCGTTGCCAGTTGAGGGCAGCTTGCCGGGATACAGAAGGCCTCTCCTGGTTTTAATCTGGCTTGGGCCACATTTCCCCGCAAGGCCCTGCAGTGGGTAAGGCTTCCCTGTTTATCTCTCTATAGACAGCACCTTCCCCCGGAAAGCGATCACCGGCAGCGACTTACCACTCATCGAGATAGGAGGGCATGACAGGAGGCAAGACAGTACAGTGACAGATGGGAGGGACAGGCAGCAGGAAATGAGATAGGACAGATTATAGATTATGGATAAGAGGACAAATAACAGGAAAGGAGGCGGCACGCAAGCCTGCGTGCGTGCACTGGAACACAACGGCCAGTGGCGCCCTCATCTTGTCCGGCGTCATAGTCTTTTCCAAACTGCAACCTGTCTTAAAGCAAACCCTCTGAAATGGGGTGTGAACATTGGGTCAGGTTGGGGATGCTGCAGTGACACTTGTTTTCCCGGCCGTTGCGGAGCAAGGACCCACCGCGCATTTGCAGTCTCAGGATGGGTCCTATCACTGCGGCGAACCTTGCTGCTCTCCGAGATCCGCAGGCAAGGCTCCTTTCCAATGGTTTTGCATTTTGCATACAGCTGATAAGGTGCCGATGGTGAGCGCCACTGCTTCGGACATACTGGCCTCGCAACTTCCACTGCAACTACCGTTGGTGATAATTCTTGTGTTTCTTATTGGGGACGAGCACAGGTGCAACTTGATGATGCCGCCAGGAACCGGAGGCGCTCGGATGCGAAGCGACGAGAGCACAGAATATGGTACTAATTACCTACCTGCTTCTCTGCCTGCAGGTACCAACCCCGCCGTGCCTGCAGCTGCGACGGGCAACGCACTACGTGTCAGAACCTCGGTCAGGCAGACAACCTCGGTCTTTCCTCAAGATACCTCTTCACGACCTAGGTTCCGCTGTTTCCACCAACCCTATCAGGCTGGCAAGAGCCTGCAAGCATGCGCGCACTCAGCGACAGTGTGTCCAGGGCTTTGACAAATGTCTTGCCTTGTGCCCGGAAGGTCTTGGAGACTCGACGCAACTTCAGCTTCAGTATCTGCAACAACTTGAGGCATTTGGTGCATACCCGGACACAGGCCGGCAGTGCCTAGCAACACAGTCTTGTGAATCACAAGAGAGCATGCGAAGCACGCCAGGCATGTTCAGGTCGTAGTACATTGAGGAAAATTTGGTAAAGTACAGGGTATTAATTACAGCGGCAAACGACCCCCTTCGCAGCAGATGTTGTCAACGCGAAGGGGCTGAATCCCAAGCGATTTCACATACGAAGCGACCGCGACCAGCCTAGCATGCACCATGCCTTCAAAATCATGTTGGTGCAGTCCAACACGTGGAGTGGGCAGCATGCTTTGTCGTTGATACTCGTCCGCCCCGAATCCGTGAGCGCACTTTTGCGAGGGGCCCGACGTGTGCCGTCGGACCTCGTGCGAGCTCACGCCGACCACTTGGATTTGCGGAGGGGGGGCGGCTGCATCTTCTTCATGTCCGATAGAAGCAGATGCAGAGAGGATTCGAGGCAGGGAGGAAGGAAGCAAGGGCGGCACGGCGGCACATCCGTCGAAGTTTTCGAAAGGGATGATGGATGGTGCGCGCTCGCGGGAGAGCCCGAGAACTCCCAGGCAAAGCAACTACGGCGTGCACTGCTTAGGACAGGAGAAGAACAGAGGACGAAGGCTTTTTTCTGTGCAAGAAAGGGAAAACCAGTTCGTGGGAATACGGAGAGTGAGGTTGGCTGAGAGAGTCAACATGGCCCAAATCAGAGACATGCACGCAAGCGAGACAGAGCCACAGAGCAGCCCTGATGTTTGACTCCTGGAAGGTATGTGAGGAAACCAGGGAAAGAGCCTGGTTTGCCGTGTGGCACTCCTCGGACAACTTCAAGTTGGGTTGACAGTTGTCAACGAGCGCGGTTTATTTCCTTTGCAGGGAATGCTGCGCTTTGCACCAAGTTTTTCGCATTGCTGCACGCACCGTGCAGGCTGTTGGGCACATCCCGGCACGAAGTATTGCGTACTATGTACCTCGCGATAAAATACTTTTAAATGTCAAGACCGTCTTCACGTGTCATGTGTCCTTCCGAGTTCGTTGGTGCCAGACATTAAGGCGGGATGCAATGCCCCGCAAAGCAACCAACCTCCACCACTGACTTTTTCGAGAAGCACTTTTTGTACGTAGCGTAAGGGCCGTGTCAGACAGGTGACCTTTCCCTGAGTGAACCTTAATGACGTTTTTTGAGTTGTGATTTGCTTGAGGCCTGTGTGGCATTTAGGGCCGTTCGAGCGTGCTCAGCTCGACGCCTAAGTACCTGTCTGCCATGGGTCCTATTGTGCATGCAATGCTATGCACTTCAAAGCATGTAGCACCATACAGTTTGGGGTACTGGGCCAGTTACCGGTGAATGTTCTTGAGAACATTACCAGGCTGTGCGCAGTGCAATGACAGTTCATGGGCATAGTGTATGTCACGCCTTGCACAGCGAGATGATTGCCATCGTTTTACCACATACATTCGGCGGCAGTTGTCAAGTCACTGAGCCCGGATGAACTCGTGCTGGCATGCTTCAAGAATAGCAAGGAAGAGCACAACCATCAGTCATCAGTCTCCGAGGAAGCTGAGAGATCCTTTGAAAAGATCCACTCGGCGATTCTCAGCGCTGGCCGTTGAACCGGCAAAGGGCACAGGGTACAAGCGAACAGGCGCGGACATGCAGCAAGAACGAACAGCCCGAGTCTCAGCATATCTCATCCTAGGCTTCTATGCAAAGAGCCGCGTGAAGCTGACGCCATGCATCAGCTTAGGTCGAGGCAACTCGGGCTCCATGGCCTGAGAATGCTTCAGCAGAGACGGAGTGCTTTGACACCGACGAATAAATGTGCAAGACCCGTCATGTACTAGTAGTGCAAAGACGATCAGATGTGGCTCCATATCCCAAGGAGTCCCAAGCACTCAGCTCTCTGTTTCACTGCATCAGCAGCCTGCGTGGAGGATGGCGAAGATGCCATGCGCGTGTCACCAGTGCGTCTTGGTCGTACGTCTCTTGGCGACTGCGTCTTGGTCGTACGTCTCTTGGCGACTGCCCCCAATTGCACTTGCGCAGCCTCCACTTGGACCTGTTACCTGGCTGGAGGCGACTTGTTTTGGACAATCATGCGTTTGGAGTAAAAGGCAGACAAGTCGCTGAACCCAGGCTCGTGCACTTTGTTAGCCACGCTCTACATGCACACATTGTGAACTTTCGTAAACGCTAGTTAGTCTTGAACAGAACGCGGCTTGAGTTTGGCACCCCAAAGAAGCAAATTGACATGACGCATGTCACAGCAGCCTCGGGCATCTTCATCGCAGAGGTGATGATTCTATTCAAATCGAGAACATATTGACTGTCGCGTTTCCGTTTGGTCGCGAGAGTGGAGAATCGTACAGAATGCAAATGTGTTTGGGACGAAATAATTGACTCAAGCTGGAGAGTTTGTAAGTCTGCCACGTCAGGCGTCACCCGGAAATGTGCACAACCTGCCGATTGCACAAGCCTCGTTAGACGGAAGGCCACAACGAGTTGATTGTTCGCAGGTGTCGGATATATGGTGCCGAAAATGCGCGCCAGTGGCCCGCCGCCCCGCCCCCTCCCCTCCCCTCCACAGGGAAGCTGCCGGACTGTTGGGTCGCGAACTTCTCGAAGGGTCTTGCCATGCCGCATGGAAAAAATGGATGCGGGATGCAACACAAGGGTAAGGGTATCTATCCCAAGCCCAAACCCGAATCAGGGGGGACCCATGTTGCAGAGGCACGACGGTGGGTTTGGACTCTAGCAAAGCAGTCATCGTAGTTCCATTAAAAGGGGGCGCATCCTCTCACCCTCCGACCCTTTCTCCCTCCCTCCCTCGCTCTCTCTCTCTCGCTGTCTCTGCCTCTCTCTCGAAGAAGAAGCATGGTATTTCAGAGATGTACAGCATGTTCTCAAACTTGCAAGTGCTTAGGCTGCTCAAGTGCTGCAGCAGCAGTACAAAAGGAAACCAGTTCGGGACGCCATGAGAGAGAGAGAGAGAGAGAGAGAGAGAAACATATGTATATATATATATATATATATATATACAATGTATGAAGGAAGTGTTGCATTCGTGCTTCGCCCTCGATCGATCCTCGAACGGGTTTCTGTCCTTCGCAAGATTTTGGGTTGAAGGTCCTGGGCAAAGTCGCCTGTACGCCATGATCGCCACATCTAAATGTCCAGGGAGTTGCATTCACCTCAGCCTTAAAGCTCAAGATGAGGATGTAGCTGCAGTCCAGGATGTCAAAGGTGCAAGATGCATCTGCCGGGCCTGTCCTGGCGCATTTAGCCAGACTGCGGGCAGGCAAGGTTGAGGTCCATGTCAAAGCGATGGGGTCGGCACCAGCTTTGCGGCAGCCTCGCTTCACGATCGATGGCAGCAAGAAATTCTCAAAGCTGATCGTATACTTGAAAGAGGCCTTGAAGCTAGAGACGATTTATGTCTACTGCAACGATGCCTTCGAGCCTTCACCCGACGAGCGGTTGTCGGACTTGCAGAAATGCTTTGGATCATCTGGGAACAAACTCAACATCAGCTATTCGGGTGAGCAGGCCTTCAACTAGCCGGTACAGTGGCTGCCAGCGTCAGGGCATTGCTCATGTGCAAAACAGAGTTGCCCACATAGCAGAAGACAGAGGCAGAGTGAAAACAACATTCGCATGTTCGGCAATGCTGACATGTTCGGGGTTCTGCAGACAAACTAAATCTTTGGTGATGAACAAATTTTATGACTGTACCAATCTGAGAGAATAAGAATTGCAACGATATTTTCTTGGATATATGTATATATATATATATATATATTAGTAAGAGTTTTGCGCTAGACTATATACATATACCTGTAGAAAAAAAAATAAAAATATGTATACATATATATATATATATATATGCTCACTCCCCTCCCAAGATCCACACCTGCCCTGCCTATGTACTGGCCTAAATACGCTGCGATTACACTAAAGATTTCGCAGATACTACATTCTGCATTTCTTTCATATACACTTTGAAAATTCCAAGCGATATACATTCGCTTACGGCCTCTTCTCGTGTTGCAAAAGAACGCAAGCTTGCGTGTATATCCTGTCGCACACCGTATACAAGACTACCTATATATGATATATTCCGCACGCATTCTATTACAGATACCCTATAGGACACTCTATACAAGACACTATATAGAATATCTTATAGGATGTCCTATAGAATACTTTCTCTATATATCTTGAAACCTTTCATATG